TTATAATTTAAAAAAAAAAAGCTTTTAATAATCCTTTATAGCTTATTACTTAAAAACTTTTTAATAAATAAATTAAATACTTTAAATTTTTATTTTAATTTTACTATAAGCTTATTTACTATAAAAATATTAAAAATAAATAAGTTAATACTTTAAGTAAAAATATTAATTATAAATAAAAAAAATTAAAATTTATAATATAAATATTATAATATAATAATAAAAGAAATATTAAATAAATTTATATTAATATAATATTTAAAGTACTAAAAAATAATTTAATATTTAATAAAATTAAAAAATATATAAAAAATTATTTTAATAAAGATTATTTAAAAAGTAATACTTTAAATATAAAATACCTCAAATAAAATAATAAACTATAAATACTTAAAAAATTATAAATTTTTTTTTTAAATATATTTATAAATATTTATTATATAAATATAAAAGTATAAGGAAAATATATAATTAAATTTTTATATATTATAATATTAAAGAACTTAAAGTAAATATATAATATATATAATATATATTAATAAATAAAAAATAAAAAATATAAGCTTTATAAGAAATTATAACCTTTATTAATATTAAAATAATTATAAAAATTAATTTCTTTTAATTATATTATTAATTTACCTTTATTTATTAAATCTTTTATTAAAATTAAATATAATAATATATTTATATTAATTTTTATTTATTAAAATAAGCTTACTTTATATTATATAATAAATTATATATAATAAAAAAACTTACTTATATATATATAAAAATAATTATTATAAAATATTAATTATTAAAAAAAAAATTATTAAATAAAAAATAAATATTTACTTTTAAATTATAAAAACTTATAATTAAATTAAAAATAAATTATAAATTGTATATTATATATTATTCTTAAATAAATAAATAAATAAAATATATTAATTAAATTATAAAAGCTTACTTATATTATTATATTAATATTATATAAAATAATTAAATAAAAATATTATTAATAGCTTAATTATATTATAATAATATACTTTTAAAATTTATTAAAAAAAATTTTTATATTAATTATAAATTTATATTAAAAGTATTTAAATTACTTTAAAATAAACTTAATTTTTAAAAAAGCTTAACTTATAATTAAAATAATAATTAACTTATATTAAAAAATATATAACTAATTTAAGTTAATTTAAAATAAAATAAAAAAATATATAAATTAAAATAAAATTATAAAATTAATTTTTTTTAAAAAAATATAATTTATATATTATAATATTTATAAAGCTATAAATTATTAAATATTAAAATAAATAAGCTAAATAATAAACTTAATATTAAAGAAATAAAACTTTATAAAATTCTTAAATAAATTAAAAAAATAGCTTATAAATTAACTTTATTAAATATAATAAAACTTTAAATTTTAATATTTTATATATTATAACTTAAAAAAGTATAAGTTAGTAAAAATATTAAAAAACTTATTTTGTATAAAATTATTATTAAAAGAATATATATATAAAATTAAAAATATACTTATTATATATTAAAACTTTAATATAAATAAAATTAAATACTTTATTAAATAAAAAAAATACTTTAACTTAAAAAACTTATAAAAATTAATAAAATACTTTAATTTTTAAAAGTTAATAAAACAGTTTCTTTATTTAATAAAATTAATAAACTTAAATTAATAAATACTATACTTTAATAATTTTTATTAATATTACTATTAAATTAAACCTTTATTATTACCTTTAACTTAATATAATTAAAATTAAATACTTTTATAAAGTATTTATTTACTTTAACAAGGCTTTACAGCCTACCTCCTGCTGTAAAGGGAATTCCGGACTATTAGTTATACTAGGCTCCGGCCTAGTAAAATAAAATATAAGGGAGCAAAATACTCCTTATTAAATAAGAAAAAATAACATAGGTTCGCTATATAAAATAACCCCTAGCTGCTGCTATAACCTTATTTTAATAGAAATAAAGGCTAATAGACTAAATTAAATAGTTCTATAACCTATTCTTATTATATAGTTTAAATAGCGGTATAATAAGCAGGGTTTTTAATATTATATTTCTATATATATAAGTATATTTAAAGGTATATTCCTAACTTATTAATAAATTACCTTATATATTTATTTATAAATATTACTTATAAAAATATAATAGTTATATAAAACCCTTATTTATTAACTAAAATAATAATATTATTTATTATTAATATTTTATTAACTTTTACTATTATTAAAGTAATTCTTATTTAATTTATTACTTTTTAATATTTAATTTCTTTTTTTAAAATATTAAATATTAAGCTATAAAAAGTTAAAACTTTACTTATTATAAAAAAAAATTATTAATTATTAAAGAAATACTATTTTTATTATATATTTTACTTTTATAAGTATATTTAAAATATTTTTAATACTTAAGTATTATTTTATATAATAAGCTATAAATATTATAAAAAATAAAGTATAATTAAAAACTTAATAATATTAATTATTAAAGTATAAGCCTTATAATTTTTAATAAACTTTTTAAAATTTAATTAAAAAAACTTAATAATACTTTTAAATATAATAAAAAAATTAAAATTACTTATAATATAATATAAGAAAAAAAAAACTTATATACTTTAAGTTTTAATATTAAAATTAATAAAAAAAATATTATATTATAAATTAATAAAATAAAATCTTAAAAAATATATATTATAAAAAAACCTTAAAAGAAATAATTAATTATTTTTTAAAAAAAGTAACTTACTTTTAAAAAAAGCACTAGTAAAGTAAGCTTATAATACTAAAGTATTAAGCTTATTAACTATATAAATATATTATAAAATAAATTACTTAAAATAACTTATTATATAAAAATATTTAATATATTTATTAAATAAAAACTTAAATAATTAATTATTAATATAATACTTTTAAATAATAATTAAATTAATTATTTATAACTTTATTAGCTATATAATTATATTACTATAGTTAATATTATTATTTATTATTTATATTTTTTTTAAGTAAAAGTATAAAGCTTATATATATAAAAATAATTTAAGTTTTTATTTATTTAATATATTTAAATAAAATTAAGCTTTTTATACTTTTACTTAATTAATAAATTATAAATTAGTTATTATTTAATTATTTACTTATATATATTTAATTTATAAAGTATAAAGTATATAATATTTAATTAAAAAATAAATACTTTATAAACTTTATAAATATTATTATAAAATATTAAAAATCCTTACTTTATTATATATATAAAGCTTATTTTTATTATTTTTATAAGTATAATTATAATTATTATAACTTATATATAAGTAATTAATATAAGAAATTATAAGTTTATATTTTCTTAAGTAACTTTACTTATATTTAATACTTTTAATAAATAATATATTCTATATTATATTCTTCCAAAAATTAAATTATAATAATTATTTATTTACTTAATTATTAAACTAAGAATTAAATTAATTTTTTTATATATTAGCTTTTATAAGTTTTTTAACTTATATTACTATATTAAAAATAAATTTTAATAAAATAATAATATAAAAAATAAATCCTAAAAATCCTAATTCCTTAATAGAACTTATATATATATATATATAGTTAATTAATAAAATTGTATTTTTAAAAGATAGCTAGTATCTTACTATAGGATTATAGCGCATCAACTAAATTATTATCTATGAGATTAGATCTAGTTAATATATGAAAGCTAAGCTACTTTATAAAGCGAACGGATTTGCTTTTTCACCTAATATCAACATACTCGCAGCATGTGCCTCCTAAGTTCACAAACCGTGGTTTCTGACTAGAGGAACAACGTCTGCTTGCATGTATTATGCGGACGTGAATGGATTCATACAATAGAGTTCTCGCCCGGAGAACAGCTTATTTCGGGGTCAATTATCGGAATATTACAAATGTGGGACATAGTAGCGGCATCTACAGAAGAGCCCAAGGCCCATGTAAATAATGTTCATTACGTATCTTTCATGTCCGAAGGACGAAAGGTTATGTCCGGAGCCTCCATTGATAATGGTATGCAAATTTGGGATCCTTTAACTGGCGACTGCCTATAGACATATCTTCTAGAAGGAATGGTACTCGCGTTAATGCTGTCTCGGAAAAAGCCCAACAGGAGACGCAAACCAATTAAATCTCCTGGGTATTGAAACAGGCAGTTTAATCTAAAATAGAATACAATGAAGACAGAATTGTGAAATTAGCTCAGTTGCCTTATCAGCAGATGGTACGCAACTAGTGGTGTGCCCCAGGCACCACGGACGTACATGTAGTAATACTTTATGAGATACTACCTAGAACATTTTATGTTTGCGCAGGTTTGATCATTCCTATAGAGCAGCGGCTTTTACTTCAGCCAATTCATTGATTGCATTTCACCATTTGGACACAATTAGTGTTTTGAACCTATCTACGAACAAGCAATCAGATCTGGAACGATTTTACGACATTTACGCCACGAAGTTTTCACTAAATAAGCAATGGCTCGCTGTTACAGAGCATTCCTTCTAATATAAGGAAGCTAGCCTGCGGGACATAGCAGCAGGTATATATGCATCTTCAAACAAGAATGCTGTTAATCACACTGGATATCGGATTTGAGTTTTGTTAACCTGGAAGTCTGCTACGATATTGACTTATCAGGGGAAGAGCTTAACAAGATGTTTCTAAAAGATAATCAGTTTGACTCTAATGGGGCATGGCTTATGAAGGGTACTCAAAAACTCCTTTGGCTGCCACCTGAATATCGACCAAGAAGAGCAACTTCATTAAGAATGCATATTGCTATTGGAACTAGGTCAGGACGTGTCTTTTTTCTTCATCTTCCACCTATTGATAATAAACTATTTACAAAGTTTTGGTAATCAAATATATAAGTTTCACTAGTATAGATAAAATTAAATGAATAATTCATAGAATATTTATTTATATGATAATTAACTATAGATATTAGTATACTATCGAAAATCAGTTATAAAGCAGATTTATCTTACCTCAATTAACCTCTCAGTCAAATTGAAACATGCTTGTCGAATATCTTCCCTAAGATCCTGGGAAGAGAATCGTGATAGTCCTGCAAAACCCATATTGTGCAGTTTATCTATAAGCATATCCGTGGAGGCCATCTTGTCCTGGAAACTAATGTTCGATGATATTGTCCGCAGTAAAGTATTCGCAGCCTTGAGAGCACTACTATCCTGGCTATGCAATAGTACATCCTCAATCAATGGGGGTAGTGCACCACATCTACATAAAGTCAGTCAAAGTACACAACCTAACTCCAATACACCATCGAGTGGGCACTTACAATTGCTCAAACACCAAAGGTCGCTGCAAAGCTATATCGTTAAGCCATTGCAAACTCCGGACTTGAACTCGCTCCTCAAGATACTGGAAGTCAACTAATTCAATAGCAGATATGAGCAGCAAATCTGTATCCCTCACACTCTCCATCTTTAGGCGGCTGTTAAAGGCAGTCGTATCACCGACACCTTCAGCGTTGATCCCAGCTATCCAGAGGCCGTCTCTATAGTCTTCATGTAGCACGCCCCTTGCCGAAATAAGGGCAAGATAAGGCAGTGAATCTGTTGTAGGATCGTCCTTGGACGATCGGGGCGTTGGCGTGGAATTGACAATTTCGAAAAAGGAAGAAAGGACGCGCATTGCCGCCGGGCGCGTTGATGTATCAGTGAGTCCGCGGACAAGGCAAGCACAAACTGCAAAATGAAAGTTTTCGAAATCGAAGTGGATTCCATATGCATCGTCAAGCGGTAGCGCTGCCTCCTCAAGCTGAGCGCGGCTTTGTAGTAAAAGCGACACTATTTTTTCACCTGTAGCACCGTTCATAGCACCAATATTGGTCAAAACAGCTTCAAGGAATTGAGCTGTGCAGTTGAAGAGGCCAATGGGTACAAGTCTAACAAGAGAAATGGCCAACCAGAACAGCTGAAGGCCGTAGCGAGATGAAGAGGGTAGTTTTATCATCATTTTAGACAGCGAGGTAACGATAGAAACCAGCATTTCGCTATTCCCATCTTCACCAAACTGGCCAATGCTGTTACGTAGAGCAACGAGAACCTGGTAGAGTAAGTCGTCATCCACCTCTTCTCGGGCCAAGTATCCCATTACTGCAAAGGCCCTGGGCTGCACGGCTGGATTGATCTGGAAAGCTGTGCTTGCAACAAGGCTCATCCATCGTGACCTCCAGCTATTGGCTAAATCAACCGAAGGCGCTGCAGTCGAGCATATATCGAATAAGACGACTGTTAGACTTTCCGTCGCTGCTAAAGTCGCATTCGAATCGTGTGCCGTTGAGACAGAAGCACCGTCTCGCATGGTCGCAGATGTCAAAGAAAATGCTTCTCCCCGAGGCTCGCAGAGAAGGTCAAGGTCCGCCTTCAGTTTTGTAAGTTTGGCCTCGTCTAGGTTGAAAGCCGTACACACTGAATGGATAGAGTTGACCAATAGCTTATATACAAGTGAGCGAACGTTATTATCGCCTGTATTTGCCAGCATGGTTACAATGTGGAAAATCTCAGGTAAGAACAGCCGTGACTGAACACCGCTATCAAACGATAGTGCAACGCAAAATTGCAAAAGGACGCAGATTTCTGCCCATACCGGGCTGTCGTGTAGATACCTCGTTGGCCTCAAAGACGAACGGTTCAGGGTTTTGCGAAGCCGAGAGAATATCCTTCCTCGGATAGAGGCAGTACCGATCCCAACAATGACAGGTGAGATGATATCTAATGAGTCTTCATGAGCTCCATAGCTTAGAGCGGTTTTTATGAGTTCGTCAAGAAATATGTCCAGCAGTAGCTCGTCGTCGGTAATGGATGGCAGCACAAAGTGTTGTAGAGCATAAGAAAGGTGTTGATCCAGAACAATGAGGTCGATGAGCTTTCTCAGTAGTGTAGCGACTTTTTCCCTTCCTTTTTCACTGTCTTGTTCAGTAGTCAAAACATTTGTTCGAAGACCGGCAAGCCATGGTGACATATATGCCAAGCTGAGCGGCTTTTGTTCATCGGGAAAGCTCTCCCATCCGACAAAGAACTCGGTCAAGAAGTCAGATGTGAGCTGCGGCTGTTCAGCTGCTAAAATGCTGCTTATTTCAGCTACGAATTTCGTGGGGTCAATCGGCACAGAGATATCTGTTTCACAGGATTAGCATCAGAGAATCGCCTCTGCAAACGAATCGCACAAGACTGTCTGCTGAGAACTCACCCTTTGCACAAGACAATCTGGCATCTGCACTAAATTTAAAGGCTCTGCACAATGCTCCAAGCAGATTATAAGATGCCAGTCTTAGGGAGCGATCAGAGCTCAACAAGTTAGTAAAGGCTAGGTTGAGTAGCGTACCGGGCACGTCTTGAGGACGCATTAGTCTCTCAAACGGCTTATAGGTGCGATTCTCTTTTCCATGCTTGTTCTTGGCGCTGCGAATGGTCTGAAGCACGTCCGCTTTCTTTGGACTGGTGAAGTACATCACAATTTTCCCTCCATCTGCTCGAAGTCCGAAGGAAGAGTCGTCTTCTGACTGCAGTGATGTTGTTGCTTCTTCTACGTCGCCAAGCCGGAATATGTCATTGACAGTAGTACTGAGGCGGAAGCCAGACAAGACCTCCTGTTTCTTGGTTGTTGCTACCTGCACAAATTGACTTCCCACCTTAATGACGACCTCCACCTTCCCCTTTGACTTGGAAAGTCTTGTGATGGGTTGAAACATGTAGCGTGTATCTGTTACAACGCTGATCGTTTCCTTTGGCAGATGGAGTTGGCTGAGATGGAAATGGGCCTGAAGATCCTGAAGGCTGCCTATCAGATGATACTCTACGTTTCTTGGATGGAAAGCACTGCTGTCCGTCCTTGTGGACACTCGCAAAAGGTGTCGGAAACATCTCCTATACAAATGCCGTCAGCAGCATACGAAAGCTGAAGAAGGGCTTGTGGCTTACCTGAAAGCACTGTTCATGTTGTAAACATAAATCCTTGTCAGATTAAGTGCGAGTTCTGAGGGAGTAAGAAGATCTAGCATTTTGAAAAAGTCGTCCTGGGGATCGTTCCTTCCATTGTAAGAGGTGGCGTCTATGAAGATACCGAAAGGTTCATGCCAGAGCCTGCTCGCAATCTATCGGCCAGTTAATATTTATCTTCCCGAAAAGGCTTGGTCATTACGATCGTAAACGATCGTTTTATGACCCAATATAACGCCGTCGTCGTATTATATCGGTAGGCCAAGCAACTACCGAGTGCTATAGAGAGAGTAGGAAACCAACCTTTAGGAAGCAATAAAGCATGGTGTCGTAATCAATATTGTCTGCTTCAATATGTCGCAAAATGATGCAAATAATTGAGAGACCATCCTAGAAATATATCAACACATGCCCGAATATTTGTAAAGGGGGAATATCGTGAAAATGAAGAGCACTTAGTTTTGACTTACTTTACTCTCGCCGCCATCGTACACGGCACGAGATGTCAGATAAGACTCCGTACCTCGAAAAGCGTTGCGAAGCATGAAATTCTGGAATCGTGAATATAAGGGCGGGCTATTCGTCGAAATCTGAGGGCGGTTCCATGATATGGCCAAAGGCGGTGGGCCAAGATTCGAAATCAGATTGCGAAGTGGCTCTATAGCTGGTGATCGACCATGGGCATGCTCTCCAGGTGATCTTACAAATTCTCTGCTATCTCTGGAGACAAGAATTTGCCGAAGATGGTCCCAATGGTCATAGAGGAATCGATGTAGAGCTACACAAGATCCGAAATCAATGGCCTTTTTGTTGACAGTGATCTCCATTTGGCTTGGCGCAATCTTTTCTGCTGTCAGCTTATTTACGTACATGAGAAAGCAGTTTGCAAATTGCTTACCGATATTTCACGCAGAAATCCTATCACAACATGAATGTTTTGGACTAAGAAGAGATTAAGTGGAAACATATATGGCTCCTTTGTCCCGAATAGAACGTTGTTGGCCAAATTTTGGATTATCTTTGCGATAAGAAGCAGTCCTCGGCGCATTTCCTTGGACGGCGGCGTAGATACAAGTCCTTCTACCTCCGGAGCAACAATTGCAGGACAGAAGAACCGGAGGAAGATGAAAGCGCCAACGGCAGTGTATTTGGCGTTAGGGAAACGGTGCAAAACTGCATCGGAAATCTATTGACTGTGTGAGAGCTATCAACCAATGATGAACAAGCTTTGGCTAGACTCACTATGCTGCATATTTTTCTGAACGATGGGGGTATATTGGAAGCAGAAGCACAAATATCGTCCATGAAAACTTTGGCAACAATTTGAAGCTGAAGGGCATTCTTCTCCAATTCTTCTTGAGTGCCAACCCTGGTGGGATCAAGCTCCAGATCTAAATCTTGTGATGTGAGCATGAGTCGTTCAAGAACTTTGTGAAGGGTTCCCTGTAAATAAGCAAAGCCTTTCCATCTAGCATAGACAGACAACATTTTGGTCGCTACACAGTTCCGCCGCAGAATTTCTGCCTCGTTTTCTGAGAGAAAAGTTAGTCCACGCTTGGCCAAATTATCGATGAGTGCGAAGACCAATGTTACTCACCGGTTTGCTCTATTTCAGCTCTAATTAATGCCTCAAAAAGATCGAAAATGAGGCCTCTCTGCTCGAATACAGTTAAAAGGGAGATTGTGAGTTCATCGACTTCTGTACTTGGGCAGATGGCGCTCATTGACGTAGAAAATGATAAATCTTTTGTAATCAACTTCATCCAGAGGAAATTAGCGGCATAATAGACCTAAATCGGACCTGAGAAGACAAACCTCTAGAACTTCCTCGTATTTTTTGCTCACAGCCGAGTCTGTCAAATTGCTGAATTCGGTTCCCTGGACGAGGATATTGAATAGAACTTTGACGAATGCGGTTCGAATCTCAACATTATCATGGTATCCGATATTGATGGAATGCTTCAAACCGACATCAATATTCGCACTCAGCAGGTTAGAAAGAATAGTAATGGCCAAGTCTGAGTTAGAGACGGCTTCGTCTCGGCCAGGAAGCGTTGCGGCAAGATCCGATCTGCTTACTTCGGCCGATTCATGATTCAAGAGTGACAGAAATCGGTTGAAGTAGGTATGGAACATCTGAGACTTCATCTCGCTCATCCCAACGTCCGATTGGCTGTCAGCGGGCTGTAGAGGGAGGCGAAAAGTGAGATTTGCAAGAGCTCTTAGACAAGCTTTGTCAAGGTCCTTTTGAACTCTGCTCAGATCATCTTGTCTCCCAGTCAACCCAGTCTGATCAACCTGCGGTGATCGCGGTCGGTCAATCCAGCCTATGATGTACTCAAGCACCTGATTTCGAATATGCACGTCATCACGAAGGTTCAAATGCTCTTTCCTCTTTGTCACAGTTTCGCACAACTGGCAAACCCTTATCTCGACACGCAGGGTATTTGCAGTGTCTGCAATTCCATCAATGAACTTTGCGAAATTCAGCGTTATTAGGCCCAAGTGAACAGACGAAGCAGCAGCTAAATCGGCAGGAATTTCTAATCTGTCGACCAAAGTCTTTAGTAAAGAAGCAGCCTGCTCTGCAAATATGATGTCGGTTTCCTGAGCTGTATCTGCCGGAGCGAGGACGCCAGCAAATAGCACTTCCAGTTCTGACTCAAGAGCTTTGAATAAAGCAGGGTAGAGTATAGGAGATACTTCGCTGGATAATATCTCTCGCATAGCTTCACGAACCCTGACGTTTGCACACGCTAGGAGCTGAATTGCTAGCTTGAGATAGCGTTTAAGGGAGGACTCTTCAGACTGCTCAGCTGGGGATCGATCGATCCATGCCAGATTTTGGAGTGAAGGGTCCTCTGTAGCATTCGCCTGGGACGCAGTACAAGCCCCTCCAAGAGACGCAAGAAATCCTGAAAAGTTTCGCCACTCTGACAATAGTCGATCGTCAACAGAATTCGGATGGAGTGTAGAGACTTTCTGGACTAGAAAAATCCAGCGATCGAATGCCATTTCCCAAGCGTTTAGTATGCCCAATGTCGGAAACTGTATGCGACGCAGGAGGTTTCGAATACGCTTTTGGAAAGCAACCAATCCTGTAAAACGGAAAGCTGGAGAAGCAATCTCACGGAAAATGTCGCCGTTACGAAGAACGGAAGCTGATGATTTGACAGACTCAGCGAATTCACCGATGCAAGTACATTCTGCGAGAAACAGGCCAATGCAGGACGTCACAAGCTGACAAACGTCAATATCTGCGGAGCAAAGAGATACTAAGAGAACAGTCTCCAATTTTGACGATGCGGCTACCATATCAGGGAGTTCGTCAGGAAGTCGAGTCAATTCCTATGGAGATGGTTATTAACTCAAGGGATTACGGAGCAATGAGGTAAGAAGTCTTACCGGTATATTCTTTAATATGGTAAGACGAGCTTTCAGGTAATCATGCAGTGTCGTCAGTTCAGGAAGCCGAGGGTGAACCATTCGTTCACATAATTCCAATATGACCTTGGAGCTAAAAGGAGTATTAGCTTATATCGAGCAAGATGTGCGCTTGATTTTACCTTCGAGTCCAGAACGTTTCCCGCAGTTCAACTATTTCGCCATGACTGTGCTCATTAAATGCCTTGATAGCATCTGGGTGTTCTGCGAAGAGTCGCTCGGCAACCTCGGTTGCTGTCTCGCAAATGGTCTTGTTGGAGGATATTACAGTGAATATAAATGGTCCCAGAGTATCAATTGTCGGGGATTGGCGAGTCAGTTCATTCAGCAATGGTGTAGGCAGAGCGCCTAGAAACTTGAGGATGCTGCGTGCTATGTTTATGACCTCATTACTGAGAATAGCTGCCGAGTCCCACTGAGCAGCAACACAAGCCTAGTAGCAGTCAGTACCGTCACCGTGGGAGATAACAAGAGGTGGCAAACCTTTAGCTGTGACTGGATGAAGGGTAGTGCATCGTTGAATAGTTCATTGTACTTGGAAGACTCTGGTAAGTTCGCAAGATGACAACATGCTTGTATGACTGCAACTTTGAACCTGTATGGCGATGAAGGTGAGATACACGTATCGAGGACAGTGTCAATGCACACGTCCAAGTTTAGATGTGCCAAAGTAATGAAAGCAGCAGTGATCATATTGTGGTCAAACTGGGCTGAGAGCGAGCCTGTAGCAGAATGCCGAAAGACTGCATCCCGCACCTCATCCTGCACATCCATTGCATAACTGACAAGGGCAGAGTCGCTCTCTGCATTAAAATGGCGAGCAGCACGGAGCAAAGAGATGACACAGTATCCTGCTTGCTCATTTCCATTCTTCATGGCTTTACGCAACCCATCGAGAAAGGACACTTTCTTCATGATGTTGCCGCCCCTAACCTCTCTCATGTTACTAGCAACCTCGAAAACATCGGGCATAAGGAAAAGGAGAGTCGTCTGAAGAGGAAAGAGAAGCGTTTTGCGTCTCGCGTCAGTCACGGTTTGTGTCATGTCAAAAAGAGTGTCTGCGCCTCCATCAAGCCGCCTATGGAGGCGGTGGAGGTGTGTGAATTCTTGCGGATACCGATCAATCCATCGGGATATTAATAATGGTATGGCAGCAGCGACAGCATTCTGATATGACTTTCGAAAGTGAAGATAGCTCGAACAAAACTCCTGAATGATGGAGCCAAGCCTGCCACTATCAACCCAGAAAGAGGAAACAAGCTGCACAATGATGAGCGAACCTCTCTCTGACTCTTGATTGCCCCCGGATTCTGGGCCTGTATCTGCCGCCGCAGCAACGCGGACACTGTATATAACACTCTTGAGGTAGCTAAATGAATGGGACCAGCTGGACGCTGTGACATATCCCACGAGCACTTTGACATGAGCTTCGACCTCCTTCAAGTACGAAGTAAGGGAGTTTTTGGTGTCGGCGGCATCGTAAAGAGTATCTTGTGGCGTTCCACTGGCCGAGAAAGCCACACTGGCACCGGGCTCGGGGCTCTGGTCCAGGAGAGCTTGCGCCGAGAGCATATAATTTTCGGATATCGGTTCCAGCAGATCCTTGAGCGCGTCGAAGATTCGAAAAACAAGCCTCTCTCCCAGAGTAAAAGACGGCAAAGCTGTGCCGCTGTTGCGAGAATTGGGCTGTACGGCCCAATGGGCAGAGCAGCAGTCTGCTGCAAGGCTTAAAACGAAGAGCTCCGAAGACAAGACTAGGCTTGGGTGTTCCGAGACGACGTGGTAGGGACGCGCGAGATCTTCGAGCAATGCCACCAGGGACTCGAGGATCGTGTCGATGAACGCCTTGCTGAGGTCCACGAGGGTTGACCTCGTGATATGCAGCACTTCATCCTCCAGGGGATTTGGGCTGCTCGTTCCGGTGACGTGCGGTAGCTATGCGTAGCGCAAGAGCGTATAAATCTAGATTAGCCGGCATTCGCGACGTTAGAGTTTCCACGGGCTGGAATGGACGTCTAGTGCTCACCCTGCTAGAGAGCCGTTCAACCAAGCAGCCCACCAGGCTTGAATCTCCAGACATGGCGGCGACCTGGAGATTTCGGATCGGGCGAGCTGGTTGGACGAGGACGTGGACGAGATGAGGCCATGGTCGAATTTAGGGACCGGAGGCAGAGCGCGGGGTACCTTCTAGCAGGTACAGATAGCACGGCACGGCCCCCTAAGATGTGGGATCCCTGGCGCTGTATTGCAGCTAATCAAGCGCTAATGGCGGCAGCACATCTCTGAGCACAATGAAGCAATCGAGATGGACCCTGAATAGGGACTGCAATGGGAAAACCCTCACTTATGCTGTAATATGTGTAGCTTTAGCAGCAAATCTATGATATGTCTGAGATCAATTGGATATCACTAGCAAAATGCTCTTCTAAAACAGGGCCATCTAAACCGAAGCGCATCTTGGGATGCATTCCTCAAGGTAAATTAGTCCGGCCAGGGGCACCCGAGGCCATCTCAACCCACCTTAAAAATGCTGGGTCTGGACCTAGCGCCGAAGCTCCGTACCAGCTTGTCTGTCACTGCGGGAGAACATCTGCATCTGCATCTGCATTCGCATCTTCGCCCTAGCCTTTCGTTGATCTTGTCCGCTTCTACCTGCGCGACTACCTAATTCCAGACTTACCAGACTACAGAGACGTGATCCCGGAGCCACTATGCAACAATGCCTCGTAGGCACGGTGCTCTAGACGACTACACGTCTGCTGTACCTCACGTTGGTTCCATCATATACTGCTCTCCAGCCGCCCAGCCTAACAAAGTGCTAGATCATCCTGTCAACCTCTGATTCCGACTACCTTGACCACCTCATACCTGTGCTCAAAGATGCTACCAACTCGCGGCGGACGCCAGCTCTGCTGCAGTCCCTGTCTCGCTATTCCGAAGACCGCGAGGCAGACATCGAGCGAATCGGATTGACCAAGCACGAAGAATTTCTGGACTCGGTCCACAGGTTGCAGGAAGTCCGCGAGGGGACCGTCACTCTCACGACCGAGATTCTCAAGCTCAACCAGTCGATTCAAGCCAGCACTGAGAAGCTGGCTGAGCAAAAAGGCGCCCTCGTCAACACCAAGGCTGTGCGCCAGAATATTGCTGACGCGGCAGATGCCCTCCGCGAGTCTCTTACGGTGCTGCATGCCGTCAACCACTCCCACGAGCTTGTACGCCGGAAAAAGTACTACTCTGCCCTGAAGTCGCTGGAAGACTTGCAGAACGAACACCTGGTCTCTATCCTTCAGAACCGGTATGCGACCCAGCATCGTTTGGCGGATGTCATCCAGAAGTCCCTCCCTGCCTCGCGGAGGGCAATTTCTGAAGCGGTCATGTCTGACTTGAATACCTGGCTTTTTCGGATCCGTGAAACCTCGCAATTTCTGGGAGAAGTCGCATTTTATCATACCGAGATGCGGAGGTCGCGGCAGAGGGCGCGAATCGAGAATGAGAAGTTCTTGGAAAATTTCAAGCTAAACTCTTCAATTGAGCTTATTTCGGACGAGAACGAAGAATTTGACGTGCTCGACAACGAAGAATTGCAGGTTGATTTTACGCCGCTGTTCGAAGCTCTTCATATCCACGATGCTCTTGGACATAGCGACCGGTTTAGATCGGAATACGCCTCTACTAGGCGTCAACAAAAAGATCTTCTTATCCCGACTTCGATTGATCTGCTAGCTGAGGATGAATCATCTCTTAGCAGCTTACTAGAGGGAATAGCTGGGTTCGCAATTATAGAAAAGGCAACAATGGCGCGCTCGCCTTATCTGCGCTCCGTGGTTGATGTGAGTCTCTGCGATTCCAATTTCGAAGTAATCAGTTTTGGTTTAACATAAAACAACAGGTAGAAGAACTATGGGACTCCATGTGCACTGCAGCTATAGGCATCACAACGAAAGCGCTCACAGGCATCGATAATGCCGAAGTGCTACTGAAAATCAAAGGCTTTATTGCCATGTTCATTCAGACCATGGAAGTAAGCATGTACCCGTGTAAAACAGATGAAACGATAAAGAAAAGAAAGACAAAAAATGTGTTAATTTGACAATCACTGACTGCGTTTAGGGCTGGGGATACTCCGTCTCTACTCTTGATAATTTCCTCTTACAGCTCTTCGACAAATATGCCCAGCTGCTGAAGCGTCGATTCAGTGAAGACTTTCAAGAGGTAAGTACGGATGGTTACTTCCCCCCCTCTCCTTTTCTTTTCATCCCTATTCCGAAGTGAATATTCATTTTTCCAACATCACAAACTGAGTAGATTGTTTCCACCGACGACTACATGCCAATGGCTATCAACTCGCTGAGCGACTACGAGAAAGTGATCAATGTCAGCTGGTTCACACCAGATCGACCTACGGAGGAACTTACGTGAGTCTATCCCACTCCTCCAAGATGCGCAGATGCTGATGATGATATGTAGATTCCCATGTGTTTTACCATTCTCTCAGATGTACCCCCTCTGTTGTATCGACATCCGCAACTTTCTGAATCAGTTCTACTTCTTTCTCGATGACCACTTCCAACACTCAGATATTATTGATGAAACGCTACGAAAGGTCTTGACGCTCCCCTCTTTATGCTTCAGTTTAGTGAAATAGGCGGCTGACTATGAAACAGTCTCTAGATGAGCTTCTTAGTGAGAAAGTCTGCAAGTCTCTTGTCGAGCGTCTGAGTTCTCAATATTTGGGACAGATTGTGCAGATTCTCATCAATTTAGAGCACTTTGAGATAGCGTGCCGCGAGCTAGAACAGCTGTTGATCAGAGCAAGATCCACCACTTCGGCGGGCGGTCCTTTGAGATTGAATGCGACCGAGGAATTCCGCAACAACAAGAAGACTGCCGAAAAAAGAATATTCGAGCTAGTCAACTCAAAAATTGACGATCTTGTGGATACGGCAGAATACGACTGGTAAGAAGACTTTGCTTGAAGGAACTGATTACAGGAGCTAATCATGCCAATTGCACAGGTTGGCAAATGCAGTGCAGACGGAGCCCAGCAATTACATGCAAACTCTTACTCGATATCTGTCCAACATCATGAATTCTACGCTTCTGGGGCTGCCTAGGGAAATTAAAGAATTGATTTATTTTGATGCTCTGAGCCACGCAGCCGAGAAAATTTTGGTAAGCCGCCTATCGAGTCTCTCCGTCTCTTTATTTCCTCTTAAAATTCTCTAGATTACTTCATGGTTTACTGACCAAAACAGGCCTTGCCCCTTTCATCGGAAGTTCGACATATTAACGGTCATGGAGTCTCAGCTTTGGCACAAGACGTCACCTACCTTACCGACTTTGTGGGGAGCTTAGAAAACGGACAGATGCTACGTGAAAACCTCGATGAACTTCAGCAAACTGTAAATCTGATGCAGTCCGATAACCATGACGAGTTCTATGATATTTCAATCCGCAACAAGAAATATGGCCGAGTGGACCCCCTCAATGGGCCGATGCTACTCGAAAAGTACGTGTTGACCCGTACAATTGAAAACAAAACAAAATATACCCAAAACACAAAAGAGCTAACATACGTTGTAGGCTGACTCCTACCGCACAACCTTCGGCGAGAACTGCGCCGCTTTCCAATCTGTCTCGTTTCGCCATCATGAAATGAAGCAAACTGTTGTTTAAATGTGTCTCTAGGTCGCAAGATATGCCTGATAACTTGTCCGTCTGGAGATTCCTCCCATCACCAGGTGGTAGGCAGAATATGACTAGATCCAACGAACTTTGTCATGTCATTGGTCCCATGCTGGTGGCTTTTCGTCAACTGCCGGTTCAAACTGAAGCGAGTTCTATTCGAATTCTTCAGACTGCATTGGTGCCTATCAACCATTAGCAGGGTCATGTCATGTTGCGTCAGGAAGTTGACTTGCCTGTTGCGGTTGCATTGTTGAGTATGGATACATGCCCTCCATTTCGCCATATATGGCCGTTTGTGGCTGGGCCTGTCCATAGGCGGCAGCGGGAGGGCCCTGGGGAACCTGGCCAGGATACATGTTGGGGGGCTGTCTGTAGTCCTGCTCAGAGCCGAGCGCATGCGCGTCCATGTAACCTGCGGTGGCCATTGGGTGGCCAGACGGATGGCCAGGCGCCTGAGCCATGCCTGGGTGCCCGGCCATTGGTGGTTGGGCGCCGCCGGGCACCGGCTGCGTGGCGGAGGGCTGAGTGGTGGTTCTTTTGGCGTGTGCTGTAGCTTCTTCTCTAGGAACAATGTCGATGAGGAAATCAAACATGTCGGATTTAGCAAGTGCCGAGGCAATGTCGGACCGCTGCAGCGTGCGGCGCTTGTTCTCCTCTGCATGGATCCATGCGCGCATAGTGAGTTCCGTAATGAAGATGTCACAGCCCTTGGCGAATAGAATCGGTGCTTCGGCGGAAATCATCTTGACTTCTGGATCGGCCTTCATGACCTTTTTGATACGTGCAAGGGGCAGCTGATGGATCTTGTAATCGTGAGTATCGCTTTCCAGGTGGCTGATTGTCTGTTGCCAGTAGGTTGTTAAGATGTCCTTGTACTGTCCTGTAAGTCCTTGGTGAACCTAGAAGCCGCCCAGCAGTCAGCCATCAGAAGCGCAGAGCAGAGGCACAGGGAGTGAGAAACAAACATTTGCCCAGGGGCCGGTGTATAGCTCGGCCGGCGCAAAGCCTTGCGAGGCAAGCTGCAGCTGTTGTTAGCAAGCAAGGATGGCATGGCCACACAGACCATTGAAGCAAGTATACGAACAGCAGCACAGGCACCTATGCGGGGCGCATTAGCATTTCAGCAGCAGACGCTCAGCGAGAGAAGAGCTACAAACCATAGTGTCCTCCTTGTGTGGGATCGTAGACGGGTGCCGGCCGGTTATGTGACGGGTGGGTTGGCGCAGACTGGTTTTGCGACTCCATTGTTGAACGCTGTGCAGATGAAGCAGCGAGGTTGGTGGTGCAGCAAAGCAAGCTACTACCTACTACTAGATCGCATCAGAAGCCGGCATCGATAACTCATTCATTACAGGCAGGATATACGTACGCAAAGGTGACTCTGTTTACCGGCGAGACTCAGGCTAACTGCATCAGCAAAAATTCCCAACAGGTGCAGCAGGCGCGCGTTATCGGTGTAACAGGCAGATCGCGTTGTTGATATTGGGCTCGACCTTGGATGATGTTGTCAGAGCTGCTTCACGACTGGAGCAGCTTATTCGCTGGGCAGCTATCGCTAACCGGAACTAGCTAGGGCGGCATGTTGCCTAGCTTTCTGGATAGTTGCATAAAACTTCCCACCAAGCCCGCAATCTGCCGCATTACATAATCGGTTGAGTGGTGATGGTGGGGAGCTGGTTGAAAAAAATTCTTGTAATGGGATTAATCCACTTCTCTGCATATCACCAGCATTTTTTTTTTCTTTAACAGAAAACCAGGGTTATATTCTTTCGAAACTTTTCCCTCCAGCGCTTTTGCTCCCAAAGACCCGGCAATTGATCTCCTTGTCGCGGAGTCAGAGTCATATTATGGCTAATTTTGCCGACAATGACATCCAGGAGCTCCTACAGCAAGCCGAGCAGCGCCTCAGCGGTGGCCGCATAGTCGCCAAAGAAGCTTCAACAGCTTCGACGGCCAAGCCAGCGGGAGAAGAGGATGCTGTCAAGGCCGTAGCAGCTCCCACGCCAGAATTGGCTCAAGTCCGCGTGCCACAGCCCAAGTTGGATGCACAGCGGAAGGGTAAGGTAAGCCCAAGAAACAAGATTCCTTCCTCCTCGTTCACAAGAGATTGCCGGTATAAAGATGAAAGTTAGCCGCAAGGCACAATGACACGGGACAACGTCCGTCTTGGGCTATCGTCCCGTGGCTCCTGATTTCTTTATCATCATAGTTACTCTGAATACCAAGCGACTCAAGTCCCCTTTTACACTCATTACCTCTTCACGCAACGGGTACGAGGATTTTTCATCGCTAACGTAAAAAAACAGAACACAGCAGGGGCTGATTGGTTTGATCTTCCCAAAACCGACATGACGCCAGAGTTCAAGAGAGACTGGCAACTCTTGCGCATGCGAAATGTCCTAGACCCTAAACACCAGAGAAAAAACCTCCGAGCTAGCGCCCCCGTATATTCGCAGGTGGGCAAGATCATTGCCAGTCCAATGGACCCATCAAGCGCAAGACTTGGCCGTAAAGAGAGAAAGCAGACACTGCTAGAGGGCGTCATGGTTGCACATAATGACAACAAGCTTGCTGGCAAATACTCCGACATACAGGAGAGGAAGAGGTCAGGACGCAAAGCATTCTACAAATCAGTAGTTTCCAAACGACGACAGAGGAATTAGAGGAACAAAGGCCCCAAGACCTAAATCTTGACATGATACCCGGACAATAATGGAGTTTTTCATCTGGTTGACCAACTATTTTATGGTTGAAAAATAGAGCAAAAAAATAAATAAAACATCTAATACTATTTCTGTGCCTCCATCCCAGAGTGTATAAACTTTTGTTATGATGCAAGCCATATCTGCAATTTATATGTAATGTTTATTAAAATCTTGTGATGATACCATATTCTTCTTCTCGTCATACCATTTCGTAGTGTATAATTCGTGATTATAACTCCTTAATACAAACTTTAGTAATAAGTAGCCAGCGCTCATGCCGTCATACTGCGTTACACCAACTTGATCTAATCATAGTCTGCCTTCTGCTTTGGCTTCTATTGACTTTTTGTTAGTATCATATAAAAGCATTCGGAGGGGTAGGCTCAGGGGAAATATCAGGTTGCTAGTCACTCACCTTTGACTTGTTCAAAGACCTTGAGCATCTTGCGGCGCGCTCCGAGAGCATTTACGCCTCGGTCCTCCAAGGCCTTGTCGTCCAATTCGACCAGATCCGTCCATTTCATATCCTTCAGATTATCCGTGTACTTGTGTAGTCGCAGACTACGGAGCCAGCTAGGGATATCTTGAAGAAGAGTGGGATCGGTGGGATCTTCAGGCGGCTTGGAGCTTCCTCGTCTTCCTCTTGGTGAACGGCCTCGGGCCATGTCAGAGTGGTCTGAGAGGTAGCCTTCGTGAGTGTTGATTCCTAGCTGCCCCAAGCCGACAGGCGGTATGCCGCCAGACATCAAACCAGAGCCATCGTATGCGCTGAGAAAGCCGTTATGCTGAGGCGAAGTGAAATGCGACATGGGGCCCATCCCAGCCTGCAGAGGCAGACCCGGAGAGCTGGGACGAGATCGCTGTCCTCCAAAGCTGAGGCCCTGCTGAGCTTGGAGCGCCATTAGTTGATCACGAGTCATGACCTGCCCGTGCTCGTTGATCATCACGACGTTGGCGCTGGGAATGTTGATTTGCGAGGGAGTAGGTGGCATCTGGTTGTGTGCATTGCCCGGGGCATCGTTAGATCTAGCCCTTCTATATTTGCGAACGTCATCGAGAGCGAAACGATTGTTGACTGTAGAGAGTGCAGCCAGCTTCATTGCAGTCGCGTTGGCAATCATGTCAGCCTGGCCAGTAGAGTTTCCGGTGTTGAATGTCGGCGCCATTGGAGTATTAACCATGGAGGCCCAGCTGCCACCACCATTCGCATATGGGGATAGGAGAGGTAAATCAGCTGGAGTCTTGTCCCGAGCCGTCAAAGTGGTCGTTTGAAGATTGGAATTGCCAGTCAGCTGCGGCGGCCGTGGTGATCGTAGCCCTGCAGATGCTGGAGGCTGGACAAATTGGCCCATGGGAGTCTGGGACGAGCCTGCTTTGGCAGACGCCGCTGCATCTCCGCCGCTGGCCCACGGTGACGCCGCTGAGGCAGCATTGCCCTCTCTAGATTCCTGAGGGGCGGCTGCAATATTAGGTCCAGCCATTGCGGTTCGTGGGTCGAGGGCCAAGCTGTTACGGTTCGACGAAGGCGGGTTCCCGGTTTGCTGAGTGAACTTTGCCTTTTCAGTTGCAATAGCGGCAGCGGCGTCGGGGAACATGGCGTTGATCGTGGAAGCGTCAAGACCAGAGTGTCGCTTGGTCGATGACACGGCCGAGTTGCGAGCGAACGAGTTTCGGGCCGAGTCGACATTGAGCTTGTTCATAGCATCACTGAGCCGACTGGACATCGGATCTTGCGGAAACATTAGCAAGGAACACTCGTGGGTCGATTCTGCAAGAAGGATTTACCTTTATCAAAGGTCGCGGGGGACAAAACACCAGACATGGGATGGTTCTTGCCCATCTGCTGGAGGACCTGGATGAAGAAGCGGATCTGGACCTGAGTAGTCTGCTGCAGCAAGGCATACAGAGCGGCCGTGCGCTCAGCCTCGCTCAACACGCGAAACCACTGCTCAATGGCGCTGAGCTCGTCCTTGAAGTCCTGGTCAAGCGTGGCGGCAGCCATCTCCTCCAGCGTCGTCTCATACTGGTCGATGTCCGCAATCCACTGCTGGGCGATCTTGTCCTGCGAATCGATGTCCAGGCCGGCAGGGCCAAGGCCGCCCTGCTGTGGCTGGCCGTAGAAGTCGGAGGACGGCCTGATGCGGTTGGCCGACGAGGTGCCTGATATGGCCGCCATATCGGCAGACGCGCGCAGCGAGCTGCCAGAGCCAACTGCCCGAGAAGACGGCGGTCTTAGAGAAGGAGTGGCATTGACTTCAGGGGTGCTGTTGCGGTTTCCGGCGACGTGGCTCCCAGACATATTGAGCATGCTTCTTCGGCCGGGTCAAGACGAGGTGAAGAGCAGAGTAGGTAGTTAAGAAAAAAAAGAGAGAGAGAGAGAGAAGAGGGGCTAAAGACGGGAGAACAGTTGGCGAATTTATTTCTGCAGTATCCAGCTGAGCAGAGACGGTTTGGCAAACCGCAGGCGAGGCAAATAAATGATGACGAAGAGTTAAAACATGATCCTCTGGCAAATGTCGCGCGTTAGCATTCGGGCCTCGTGTAAAGTCCGCAGCTGGGCGCTCCCAGGAGGCTTTGTAGGAAGACGCAGATAGATACCCACAGGCAAATAAAGAGTCGTTAACCAAAATGGGATGTCTGCGTCCAGGCAGGCAACACAATTAAGTCAATCAAATCAAATCAAATCCAGCGACCGATCAGCTGTCTAGGAGAGATCGTAAGGGGATGAGACCCGTGAGGAAGAAGGATCGTGCAGAAGAGAAAGCACGGACTAAGGATGCCGAGAGTAGGGGATGCAATCACGGATTTGCTCTCGGCCCAGGCCTGGTTAAAGTGCCTACCGGTATGCCTGCCTACCTATTACGCCGTAGCATGTATGGCTAATGGCGACTGGCGCTGCTATTGGGTGCTGCTAGCTGATGAAAGTGGTAGCACTATTAGTCGTACTTACCGCATTGGGCAGTACAAGTATGAAGAGTTACTAGCCGGAGTAAGAATACACGTGCTGCAGTTTTTAGTATGGAGGAACCATCTATTAGAATAGGTGATACATATGCTATTATTTAACATTAGAAAAGGGAATATGGCGTGGCAGATATAAAGAGTAATAATAGCAGTATTCAAGCATTACTTAGTGATATATGTATCCCATCTCATGTTTGTTTCTTAAGAAATAGAACATCAAATAACAGAAACAGAAACACTGGGGCCTTGGAGTTGTACCTCGTCCTAGTGCCACCACGCGAAAACTCGCTCCCACACTAGCCTCCCCGCCTAACAAAAGGTACCTCCCTCGCTTACCCGCCGTAAATTCCCCTCCTCGCACACACTAGGGCTGGACCACTCTTCACTTTTCCGCACGATCTTGAATCTCGACTTGCAAAATCACACCGGACCAGCATCGTCAACCACAGCAGCAATGGCCAGTGAGTTTTTTTGCCCGCCACGACCCCGAACCCGATCGATATAAATTTTGCACGACAGAATGCTAATATTTCGAGCAATCTAGAGTCAAAGAACTCGTCTCAGCACAACCAAAGCCGCAAGGCTCACCGTAACGGGTTGGTCTTCAATTATTAAAGATTCGCAAAGAAAGTTCCGTCCGCTAACTCCCCCACGTAGTATCAAGAAGCCCAAGACTTCCAGATACCCTTCCCTCAACGGAACCGACCCCAAGTTCCGACGAAACCACAGACATGCTCTTCACGGCACCATGAAGGCTCTGGTACGACATTCTCAATTTATCCCACAACAATCGAACACAGCGAATACTAACCACTTCTAACAGAAGGAGCTCAAGGAGGGCAAGCGCGAGACGGCATGAGTGTATTCTGATTAGCAAAATCTGTTGAACGAACACAAAAAGGGGATTCTTTGCAAAGTTTCAGGGCCAATGGCCCATTATTAGACGCGATTGGCGCAGGAATTTGAATGCCTCATCGGCTAATAGGAAATGCATCACCATATGCTGAAATATCGATTTGAGTTTCCTCTTAATATGAGCACCGGATAGACGAATCGGCTGTCTGGTATGTTGCAAAGTTACGTGCACTCTTTCTGGGGTCGGTGCCCGATGTCCAAACAACCAGTGATGACTCTTTGTGTGAATGGCAACACCGAAAGATTCCAAGAACTACTACCAACGAACGAGGAACCATGATTTTTCCTGTCTATTCTTGCATTCTGATGACCCATAAACGAATCTAGGAGGAGCAACGCGAAACGTGAATATCATGATTTATTTTCCTATTGCCAGCTATCACTATTATAGCTTCATGTTCTTTACTAGAAGCTCATGTGCCAAGGCCTTGTGATTCGTAGATAGCAAGGATATGATTTGGTTCGTCATGATGATATCCTTCAACAGCTTCTTGCCGCCCGCCGCCTTGTTTGCTTCCAAGGCTTGCGTGTAATACTGCAAGCTCAAATATCCAATTCCGAGTAGTTGAAAGAGCCTGCCCACATTGTAATATCGCTCCGCTTGCCGTTGTGGCTCACCTCCCCCTGATTGCACGTAGTTGCCGATGAATGCTTGGCCCTGCAAAAGCAAATATTGCCGATTGGTTGACTGCCGTTTCAGGCCATAATGAACGTATGCGAGACCTAGACTCAAGTTGACCATCGGATTGTCATGGTCCAGTGACCAGGCACGCAAAAAGTATCCTAAACTACGGTCAACTAACTTCTCCGCTGGCTACAATCTGGCTTGGCTCTCAAACACTCACCTATCGCGTACGTGTAGCTCGTAGATGTGAATAGAATGTGGCCGTATAGCATCAAGAGACATATGTCCATGTTTAGCTTTGCAGCGGCTGTTATGCTTTGATCGAAATCAGGTTTCCCAGCGGCATTCTTCGCCGTGGCTTCGTAGCTCACGTCTATGGCTTTGATCTGCCTCAAGATGAATTTTTGGGCCGGTCCAGAGGTGTACCAGGAAACAGGAGACTGGCAAAGCTTGGAGAGCAAGGCAAACATCCGAGAGGAGTCAGATATTCCGCCATCTCTCATCAAGTGACGAGCTATTGTAATACACTTTTCTTCGTCATTTGTATTTATTGCACAAACTATTTCGGTTAACACGACCTTGGTACGACCAAATATGATAAGAGACGCTTTATACATACCACTCCAGGCCATGTGGATGACAAAATTGTGTTGGGGCGACTGGAATACGGTCGAGTCTCTTGCGGATTCGCACACCTGATATGCTTCTTCGCGGCGATGTACAAGCGATAGGCCAATGGCATAATCGAGAAACAGATCGAGCCAGTCGTCAAATGATATTCCTTGATGGTTATCGAAAGCTGGTCCCGGTATTGAGTCTCCTTGAGGCGCAAGAGCTGTAAAGAAGTTATTTTGTTAGTCGTCATAAATACACTAGCAACGAAAGTAATCGTAAGAAAAGCAGAGCAGAGAGGAGGAGCATAGTACGTACATCGTTGAAGACGCTCAAACATCTGCGACAGCTCGGTATTTGCTTCTGCGCTCGCGGCCTGTTCCAACAATTGCTTCTTGCCCAGAAAATGGAGATACTTGTCCCATGTATAGAATCTTTTGAGCGATCGAAAATCGTCGACAAGCTCCCTGCAAGATTCCATCCAGACCGGTATGAGATCGCTAGAACCAGACTTGATCTGCTGTTTCAGGCCACGGACGAGTTCATATTGCTGCGACAGCTTGATTGCGCGCGATCGCTCGTCTTGACGGCGCTTATCTGGATTTGCAAAACGCTTTGCGCGATATCTCCTAGGCAAGATACGAGCTGTTTGGGCAGATTTGGGTTTGGGCTGTCGAGGCTCTGCCCGTGCTCGAGAAGCTCCCGCATCTCGCAGACGACGATCCGGTTTCATTGAGAACTTGCGAAGCTGCTCTTTTGTTAGGGGCCCGTGGAGAGCTGGCTCTCCTTGAGCTTCTTTCAGAGCCATTGCTTCCGCAGCAAGAATGAGGGCTTCTTCGTCTTCTCTAGCTTTCTCATACATGTTGGCCAGTTCGATACGAGCGTCGATGTTGTACTCTTCGGCATCAATTGCCGCGTGAAAGCACTCTTCCGCAGTAGACTGCAGTCCAGTGGCCTGATAGCAGCGGCCCAGTAGAACCAAAAGAACGGCATTAGGCTCTTCGGTAGTAGCCCGAAGCAGCTCGAGATACCTAATAGCTGTTTGTGGCTGATCATACTTGGCGAGTTCGCTCGCAAGATCATACGAGACGAAAGGGAATTCTGCTAAAAAATCAATGGTGCGAGGGTGATCTGGATCCAGCCAGGTCAAGTGTCTCTGTCGGTTTACTGGTTAGAGTATGTTTACTACGCTTATAAAGCTAGTTTTCAGGGGAGCTGTTGCTTACAAAAGCCTCATCTTCCTCTCCCAGCCTTAATCTATATATTGCCAGCCGGACCCTAAGGTCTAATGGAAGAGCATGGCCATAGAGTTCTGGGCCAAATAGGGAGCCTTGAAAATGGGGTACATGACTCCTGCGATCGTCATCATCGTCCCATTCACAGTCGTCCACTTGCCACTGGTCCCAATATTGTTCTTGGATGCGGCCTACAAGCCATCTTGATAACGCCTTGAGTTCGTGAATAGCTTCGGCAAATGCGCCAGTTGAGGCTATGAGCTCAACATAGATTCCGATATCGTGCCATGGGCCGTCCGGTCCGTAGATTGGGGAATTGCCCATCTCATAGTCAAAATAGCGCCGGTATGCCATGATGGCGGCAGGAACAGCAGATTCAGCATTTTTATTGTCAATGCAGGCTTCTGCCAGCTTCCGCACAATGTCGAGGTCATATGGATGATGTTTGAGGACAATATTATACTCGGATATAGCGGCTGCTAGATGGCCCTGTCGATGGCATACAGAAGCTTTGCCCAGTCTAGCATCTAGGTTCGTGGGATCTGCCCTGAGAGCAGCGGAATAGCAGAGTCGCGCAGTGTGAAGATTGCCCGCCTCATCTTCGTGTAACAAATCCAGCGCAAAGGACGCGCACTCAAGCCACGCAGCAACATTCTTGGGCCGAAGATGCGCAGCATACACCATGGCAGACAGCGCCCGGGCATTCTCGCCCTGCTCGCGAAAGATGGAAGACAGCGCCGTCCATGCTTGATGGGTTTCGGCGTTGATTCGAATGACTTCAGAGACTAGATCCAAGGCTTTTTCATAATCTCCGCCGAGAAATGCCTGGTTGACCTTGGCCAATCGAGCGGTGATGTCTCCGCGAGGCTTGGCAGCTTTGCGAGGGCCTCGAGCTCCGCGCGCTCTGAAGACTCCACGCGTCGGAAGGGGCGCTTCTGAGCGTCCTTGTTGAGAATCCAGGAATTCTCTTACGGACTGGTCAAACTTGGCAATATCGCCTTGAAGCTCCTCATAGTCCGAATCGGAATCGGACGGATTGCCACTACAAGCGTCAGTCATAGAGCTTAGTCTAGTGATTTTGCCATTCGCAGCGCTCGCAAGGTTACACTGATGCACTTACAAGGCGGTTGGGTCATCCATGCCCAGATTGGACGACATGGTCATTGAGTGTTGAGGTTTATCATGCTGGTAGCAACAATGATGGAGGATGGACCAGCATGGAAATATTCCATCAGAGGTTGAAGTTTAATCGTATCAGCTAAAACCACAGCCACCCACGAATACCTCGACAGATCGAGTACCTAGGTGCCCCATACACAAAAACATTCAACACACTTAGCCAGTTTCAAATCTTAGTGATTAATGAGAATTGGTTCTTCCTAACTTGAAAATAATCCCAATTAGCGTCATGTCAGTCATCACATGCAAATTATCTTCTTTTATACGTCTCGAACTCCAAGTCGCAAGGCTGTTAGCTCAGCAGCTCCAGATTGCCGTTTGTAGCCAAGCCCGCCGCTAGAATGCTCTGATGTCTTCCGCTGCTGAGGCCGGCCCCACTCCAATTGGACCTCAGCGGCAGATTCTTTTACGGCCGCATCCGCTATCGCCGCCAGCCTTGCGATTTGCACAGCCGACAACAGAGCAAATATGTTACGCCAGAGCCCGCAGCTGCTATCACATCTCCAGGTACAGAAACACCCATTGGTGCCATGAAAGAGACGTTGGCAACCGCTAACTCTGGAACTGCAGGCCGCTGTGCCATGGGCCGCTAGGAAGACCCCGGCACTGGGGTAAGTAGACTGACTATACCAACGTCCATACAAGGAGACCTGTGTTGTCGAATGCTGCAACGGTACTGACAAGCTCAGGTGCTTGATTAGCGAACCTTTATCGAGAAACTACTCATCCATCCAAACCAAAAAGGAAGCCCGCGACAGTGAGCCGAAGCTGCGACACCCACGCTCTCTCCAAGCCATCCACCTCAAGCCGCTGAAGCGCGAGGCCCAATACGGCGTCCCCTCATGCGATCTCCAGCTGCGATCATTCAGCTTACAGCCCCTCCAATTCTTCTCCGACTTTGCCCTGCGAGCCGCATACTACCTGGGCCTCCCCGCCTCGGGCCCAGTAACACTACCCCGAATCACAGAGCGATGGACCGTGCCCAGGAGTCACTTCATCTTCAAGAAGTCGCAGGAGAACTTTGAGCGTGTAACGCTGAGGCGCTTGATCCAGATCAAAGACGGCGATCCCGAAACGGTCCAGCTTTGGCTGGCGTATCTGCGCAAACATCAGTTTTATGGTATTGGTATGAAGGCAAACGTGTGGGAGTTTGGTCCAACGGAGATGTCCAAATCTCTCAACGACATTGAAGCAGTGCAGGACGCCCCATGGGCTCATCTTGGACAAATTAAAAGCATTGGCGCAGCTGAAAAGGTGGCCGATATCCTGAGTGCTCGGCGGGTCAAGAAATCCGCTGATGACAACTTTCCAATCCACGAGATATCATAGGAAGAGAGAAGGGAAAAAGAAAATAAAAATACCCATAACAGTTAACCTGCGCAAGTCCATACAACCTCGACAAGCGACTGAATTTGTTGTATGATAGGAAAGATAGTATCTTAGTATCTATTACGGTACCTATTTAGCTAAATATGTAAAATATTATACAAAAAAATACCAAATAACATGTGCTTTACTAAATTGACTTTTTATTATTTACTATGGCCAGTTACTGTGTTGTATAATGAAACGAATTAAGCCTTTGTTCACTTTGCTATTGCTTTATTTAGCCTATTTTACTTTTTCCTGGGATATCCAGACTACTACTGCCTATATTACAACATGTTTCTAACAACTACCTTACCTAGACTTGAGGTTTTATCCCTGTTCCCTCTTCTTATGCTACACCACCACGTCCTCCAACACCCCATTTTGCCTGCGCCTCAATAACATCAGCATTAATAGCCGGCAGCTCCCTACCTCGTTTTGTTGGCCACGCCAGGAAATTAGTTTCAGCAAGATATCTTAAGAAGCGACCAACAGCTTCCCTGCTAATGCCCTCTCCAGCACTCTCATCGACACCTGTCCACCGGTCTGCATCGGCCTTGAGGACAGTAACAGCATTACGATCATCTAGTTCCGGCGCGCGGGTGTTTGTGGGAAGATTGTTTGTCGCCATGTGGAAAAGAGGCATTAGAGCGTTCTGTTCCTCGTCTTTCTGGACAGGACCTGCTGAGACAAAGGTCTCGAGCTGAGCCTTCCAATGGTCGTAGTCCACCTCGGGAACATCGTAGCCGTAGTAGCTCAGGATGGAGAGATACTCGTTCATGCGCAGGCGAGGATGGGCAGTGACGTGGATAACGTGGGCACCGACGTCGCCCCTGCCGCTGTTGCTGTTTACAGTTTGGGCTGGGACGGGGTTGAAGCTGGCTGCGACGACGACAGTAGAGACGTGACCAACAGGCACGGCGTTGATTGTGTTGATAATGTGTGGACGGCTAGACAGCTGGATACAGCCCTTGAGCATGCGGATGAGAAAGTCGTCGTTGTTGCACACACCGGTGGCAGCGTCTCCAAGGATATAGCCGGGTCGGACGACAGATCCGAGGAGGCCGCGTCTGCCAGCCTCGCGGACAAGCTGTTCAGATACCTATGGTCCGTCAGAATGTACATGTTACATGATACAAAAGGAGGCCTGTGGAAACTACTTACCCATTTGGTCTGGCCGTATCCGGTGCCGAGACCGCTGCGACTGCCCATCAGGTCATCTGCTTCCATGACAGCGCCTTGTCCAGTGCTGGTCTGCTCTTGTGACAGGTTGATATAGTAATCCGTGTCTAGGACGCTTGTTGAGCTAACGAATGAGAAAAGCTTGGGCTTGCCCTGGTTACAAAGCCGCAGGGCATCGATTGTTGATAGAACATTACTACGCTCGAGATGCTTATACTGCTTTACCCAGTGGACGAGGGCGCCGTTGTGGATAACCACATCGACAGCGTCGCCAAGCATCTTCCATGTGTCGTCATCAAGTCCAAGACGCGGCTGTGTCAGGTCACCAATGACTGCGCTGAGCCTAGTGGCCCAAGAATCCTGCCATACACTGTATCCGCGGAGGGACTTCTGGAGCCGCTCGAGGGCGGCCGAGACGCCCTTGGTTCCACGGATATGGGCAATGACGTGTACGTTCTCGCGCTCGAGCAGATCCTTGACGATGTAAGAGCCCAAGAAACCCGTGGCGCCAGTCACAAAGACGGTCGTCTTGCCTGCCGGCGAGAGTGCCGCAGGATCCGCCGTCTGATACTTGGCATCGAGGCTACCGAGCAGCTTGTCAAGTGACTGGGCATATGCAGCCTCGCCGTCCTCTGTCGCGCCCGAATCGCTCTTGCCCTCACGCTGGCGGTCAATCTGTGTGCTGAGAGCCCTGAGGGATGAGTTCGAGTACAATGAGCTGATGGACAAGTTGGTCCCCATATTCATGCGGATATTGAGAAGAAGCTGCTGGGCCAGCAGACTGTGCCCACCAGTTTCAAAGAAATCAGACTCGGGCTGCAGAGTCTTGGCATTTACACCATTGATGAGTGTTGCCCACTGCTCCGCCAGTTCCTTTTCGGTGCTGCTGAGCGTTTCCCATCTCTTCAGATCCTCCTCTGAAGCCTCTTCCGAGATCAGGGCCGCATCCGGGAACGGCAGGTTTGGGCTGTCAACTTTGCCGTTGGGGTTCAAAGGCATCTTCTTCAGGAAGATGAGATAAGTCGGCACAGCGTGAACTGGTAACCGAGATTTGAGATGATCCCGAAGCTCCGTTTGCATTGGTCGATAGCGCTTAGAATACACAATGACGGGTCCGATCTCGGTACCCAGCTCCTCAGTGTCTTCCAGCTCGTGTTCTGCTAGCCACTTGAGCCACTCTTGGTGTTCAGGCACAATGTAGCTGACCAGTGTTGGCTCTTCGTTTCGGTCTCTTCGAAGCAGCGTCTTACACTCGCGGACTAAATGGTGCCCTCTCAAGTTGCTATCGATCTCATTGAGCTCGATACGGAAGCCACGGACTTTGACTTGATCATCAGCTCTGCCTGTAATTGCACAATTACCAGACTCGTCCAAATAATACCCCAAGTCACCGCTCCTGTATATTCTATCTCGTGGGCCTTTGTAATACTTTCGCCAGGGCTGATTGGCGTTATCGGCAACTTTATCATCAGCCTCGACCCACCTTTGGTTGTCGACGAACCAGTTGTCGACGAACTTTTCCTTGGTTTTCTCCAGGTCGTTCAGATATCCGTAAAGTTAAGTATTAGCAGGGCTCTATCAGAAAAAAACCAAGGGGAGGGAGACCTATCTCGGCTAACCCTGCTGCTCTCAGGTATATCTCACCGACCTCACCGACGCTGCAAAGCTTGGTTGGATCTTCCCGGTTGACTACGAGGAGCTGGACGTTCTCAATGCCCCTTCCGGCAGGAACAATATCGCCAAATTGATCCAATGCATTCGGATCTTCGGCGTGGCTTTTGATGTGGTAGTATGATACGCTGCGGCTCGTCTCAGTGGTACCATACGCAGCGCAAATCTCCGCGTTGGGCGCCAGCTTGCGGAGCGCAGCGCAATCCTTCTTGGTTAGAATATCACCAACGTAAAGAACCCACTTCAATGAGGGGAACTCCGCCTTAGCACCACCGACCAAGATTTGGCCCATCGCGGGCGTCAAATGGACCGCGTTGGGTTTGTGGTCGCGGAACCACTCAGCCAACCTTTCGTGGGCGATATTCTCGCGAGCAGGGCAAATTAGCTCTCCGCCCATGAACAGCGGACTGAAAATGTCCCGCTGGATGGGATCATGGCTTATACCACTGTCATTGGTTAGCAGAGCTATGACGGATATCATCTTTGATAAGGCTTACCTTAGACAAGCGAATTTTGTGTCCGAGGTCCAGTTGAAAGTTTTGGCCATCCACGGGAAGTACTTGGTTAAGCTGTAATGTCTGCCCAACACGCCCCTGGAAGTAGTCAGCTAATGGTCGAACTGTGGCATGGCTGGATCTCGTACTTGGGTGTGGATGTCGTGCCGCTGGTAAAGCTCAGGATACTCGTAGAGTCCGGTCCCACCAGAACATCTGGAGGCGCTGATGCTTTGCTTTCAGTGTCGGTAAAAACTTCCTTTCCGTCAACTTCGCCACCGGTGAGATGGCCATCATCGCTCATCCGTAGCTCGGGGACTCGTATTTTGAGACTCAATTCCTCGTCAATGTACTTCTGGACACGCGGCGCGAAAGCACCGTTCTCGTCCCTGGCTCTGCCAATTGTGATCAGGGCTTTCGGTTGTGAGACTTCAAGATAGATCTGTTGTCTCGCCGGCGGGTACGCGGGGTCTAATACAGTAATCGTGGCACCGGCGGCGAGGGTTCCCATGAAGGCGATGACAAGTTCGACGGAACGGTAGGCATAGATCATAACAACATCGCCATTGGTGATGCCAGCGTCATGGAGCTGGTTAGCCAGGATGTTGGACGCCTCGTAAATCTGCTTGTAGGTGAATCTCCTCTCGGGCGTGGTGGAGGAGGCCGTTTCCGTGACGCACGGCGCGTCCGGATTCTTCAAAGCATTCTTGTGGAATATCTCGTGGATGGCGCCGATGTAGCCGCTCCAATCGAGGCCGATGGTGGGATCGGGAAGCCCCATGGCGGCTTCAGCAGTACAGCAGGATCTATACTGAGTGGAAAGGCGCCTCTTAGCGGGTGTTCCTAGCGGATGTTCCTTTGAAGCGTAGTCCAAGCTAATATCCTGAAAGAATCGTGTCTAATGGAAAGGTACAAGTAAAACAACCATTTCGAGCTCGAGAATGACAAGAATTCTGCCGCACTCCGATCTTCGGGGGAGGGGCACTTTTTTTTTACGGTAGGCGGTCACTAGCAACCCCTCACCCAACTGGCCCGACAGTTTCCCTAAGAAAAGTGCTTTCGTAGATTTACTTTACCGCTATGTTATCCTCAGTGTATAATTAATGGAACTTTACCATCAGACGGATCCCTTGACAGATCGTCTAATAAATTACTTGACAGATCGCTGAGGCAATCCCAGCACGGACTCTTAGAAGTATCCAAAACAATCGTGCGGGAACCCAAGTTTGCATTCAGTGCTGCAGCAGACAGACAGGCCAGCCAGTTGTTCGAGGCCCGGAAGATACACGAGTTGTAGGGTCTATCCAAAAACTCATCCCAGGAATCAATAGACGTCAGTTTGAATCTTGGCTTGGTCTCACCATGTTGGTGTCGACACTTCTTTCTTGAGGGACTTGACATACGCTCCCACCTTGACTCGTCAATTGCGCTCAAGATGTCGAGATCTGCAACCCATTCCTGCTTATCGAAGACAGAGATGAGCGTCTCAACGAAGTTGCCTTCAACACTCTGATAGCCATGAGAAAACTTGACTGGTAGTTTGTATTTCGTAAAAGACAAATGAAGAGAAGTGTCTTTGAATGCATCGTCCAATCGGCCATCAAATAGGGCATGTGTCGCGTTTCTCCATTTGAATTCGTCGACTACCCGTCTCTTCGAAGGAACAGGCGGTATCATAAAACTCACACCTGGTTTACCGATGTTGCCGATTATGTGTTTTACCTCGTTCTCCTTTGGACGCTCGAATGGATCACATATCAGTGGCATGGCTACATAGATGGAGTTGCCTGCTGACAAGGCCATAACTTTCTGCAGGCTTTCTGGGTGTAGATTGACGTCTCGGTTTTCAAACATTGCAATGCATGCAAAGGTCTGGGGACGACTCAATTCATAGGTTAGCAGCCTATTTTCACACGATTTGAAATATGGCTCCCACTCCTGTTCTTTTGAGTTGACCTCGGGTACTTCCGCTTCGTATTTGATGCGCTTCCGATGATGCTCTCTAGAAGTGTCTTTGATATTTCTTTCAGATAGTCCTCTGTATATCCCAGGGAATCCGTTTACTCCCAGTGATAGATCAGAACCACTCTTGAAAAGCTGTCTAGGGTCCAAGGAAGCTCGGGCAATAAATGACCCATTGTCCCACAGCTCCTTAATGCGCGTATCTGTTCCCGGGTTGGATCTCTTCGAGCTCGTTGAAAGTCCTTTCATCCACATTGCTTCGACTAGAGGTTTGGAAAAGACACCAACTGAGATAGTCGCGCTGGGCATCAATTTGTACACATCGGCGGCAGCAGCGAGATATCTTAAAGACTCCAACCACTGTGTGGAACTGTGATGGAGTGAGCCGCGATTGTCTAGAAGCTGTCGGAGTCTGGTTTTGTCGACCCAGCCGTGGCTCAATATCAGCAGCAAGACATCAATATTAACCTTTGATGAGTCAACGACTTCCGCATCACACCGTTTGAGAAGGGTTACATCATTAGGGTCTCCGAGAATTTTCTGATACCAACTGAATTCGCCATTGCCGCGGCCCCATATTTGAATCATAGGCCAGTCTCTGACTTCCTCGCCTTTGTGTTTGCTCCCTAAACTTCTCATCCATCGAATGTGTTCACCAACACCCGAGTTAGGCGTCACCCTCTCCTTTTCGGGGTTTTGGCTGCGAACCTTGGCAGTTGCATACCCCCAGGTACGTGTATCATTCACGTCCCTAAAAAGTCTAGCCTGTTGCTCCGAAAAGTCCATAGCCTCGAAGGGCTCGTCAACTTTGAATTCGCTCCTGGGTTTCGGGTATCGAATTAGCAAAGCATTTGGCTGCATGATAAAGTCCTGAGCTAAAAGCCTGAGAAATTTTATTTTATGCTTCAGTTCCGTCATTAGGCGCAGCAATGTACTGGCGTCAAACAAGTTTGAGAGTGGGCTCGGCTCTCTAGTCGGCTCTGCGAGGAAATTCTTGTAACGTCGGTGTCCACGCATTATTAAGCTCAGTTTATGTTCATTATTAGGACTGGATTCTTTATAGTCCTTTGCGGCTTCGGCCAGGTACTCCATCCAAGGCTGCGGTTGCTGAAGAGAACGGCGAGAACTAGCAGCCTGAACAAGCTCGGTGACTTTGATGAAGAGATCGCAGGCCTTGTCAATATCGGCTCCCTGTATTCCTAAGCCAGAAAATACAGAGCCTAGGACCACCAAGAAGAATTCCGAAAGAGTAAGGCGAGATGACGTCTCGCCTATACTGCTTGATGATACGACTGGATCCCCGTAGTACTTTAGATAGGCGAGAGGTAAAGACCAAAAGACCTCCCCATGCCGGTCGGGTGAGCAGCTTAGCTGCCCGAGGGTAATTTTCGCCCCGGGTGGGATGAGCTCATCCCTTTGAGGTACGGGATCAGAGTTGCCGCCGCCAAGAACGGAAATATCAGGGTATAGATGCCAAGATGTGAGCGCGAGAACTTCAGAGCCCACTTTGAACCGACTGCGGGAGTCCGGATACAAGGTTTTCCATAAACCTGAGGCCTATTGTCCATGCTTCCAAGACACTGGAGTAAATACTTGGTTTTTGGCTCACTGGAATCGTAATGTTTGACGCAAGCAACTCCAGCTGCTTTTGCTGTCGCAGTTTTGCTGTATCAGCCACCTGAAGCCATGATCTGGCACTGGCGTCCCAGCTACTTATTTGATCGTACGTGATTTCGATGCGTGCTGCCAGGCTCGCGGACACCCACGAGGGATCTGTCTGATCCATCCGTAAAAGTTCAGCCTTTCTTCCAGCGATGATCTCCTCCCATATGGCAACTGCTTCACGAGCTGGCCATATCCTTGCTAACATGCAAGCAAGTAGATGGTCCGCAATCGCCCCGGGACCAGACGTTGCAGCAGCCCATATGCTTGTTCCATCGGGCCCCACCCAATCTTGGAAGGGGCCGTTATTCGAGCCTTTTTTGCTCAATACTTCTGTTATTTGTGATGAGCGTTTTCCATATGCCGTCACTAACTCCGGCGTCGAGGGGAGAATATGGGAAAATAGAGCCCCAAGTTTGCGGGCGAATATGTGCTCATCGCCATCTTCAGCAGCACTTCGTCGACGCTGTGACAGATGCTGTCCAACACCACGATATTCCTCTGGTGCTTCAAACTTACAAATTGAGAAGTCAAAGTTGATATTGGCGAGCGCGAAACTTGTCTCTTGGGTGGCAGAAGCGATAGCTGCGGTAATTTTGCTGATTGGCAGCATCTTCGGCTATCAATCAGAGAGAAGAGGATAAAAACCTAGGAGACCTCGAAATGTCGATATAATGGCACTACCATAGCGCCATAGATATGTTGGCACTTGGTTGCAAACCACTACATATACCTGCTACCTATATGTAGGGATAATCAGGCAGCAAGGCATACTTGCGACCCAAGGCTGAAAAGTTGACGTGGATGGTGCATACTATAGGCTCCGGGCAGCAAGGGCCCATGGAAGTGAATATGCACATGCATGATGCTTGATCCTATAACAGGGGGGCATTAGCCTAAGAGCGATGCGGCTTGTGTGTATGAAACAACAATGATGAGCTGGGTCCTGGGTGGGCAAATCAACAAAGTACCGACGATATGTTCCATTTCGGAGCCAGAAAAATCAAAATACAATAACAACAAGTATGCTAGACATGTATAGAGTCACAGCTTGCACAAGCCTAATCGAGCTCAACCCCATTCTCAAGGCCAAATGCTGAATTCCGCCTACATGGGTAATAGTAGTTAGACAACGGCCGCAATACCACAGCGGCCATTTGCATCTCCCCCGCCTGAAATCGGCCGTACAAGTCTAATTGCAAACCATTTTATTTATATATCTTGTAAAACAGGCATATCTGAACCAAGACCTCCAGAATGCCCATCTAGCTTTGCTTACCTACCTTATATTATATTTTTCAGGCGACGACTTCGCATACACTCCTGCTTTTACATTGACCCAATATGTGCTATTCATCGGAGCCTGTTTTAAAATCGGGTGATCATGGCCTCACGGTCTGGGCCGGTACCAACCCACTTGATCTACACATTGTCAATCTACATCTGTATCGGTTAAGTCGTCTCGATGTTAACAAAAAAACATACCTTGACTCCAACGAACTCCTCAATGAACTAGTCAAACAAGTTAGCGAGATGAAATTTCCGGGTCAATACGACATTTCTCACCAAGATGTAGTCTTGAGCCTCCTTGGGAAGTTTCTCAAAGGTCTTCACGTTAGTAGTCGACTGGTTCCAGCCAGGCATCTCGTGGTAAATGACCTCGGCACGGTCGAGAACATCCAATGATGCGGGATACGATTCGAGCTTCTGCAAAGGTTTAGCACATGTTATTCCAATGCCCAAAAAGAGCTCAGAGTCTCACCTCGCCGGTCTCAGGGTCTTTGTACGCAGTGGCGATCTTGATTGTCGGGAAAGTGTCCAGGACATCAAGCTGAGGATTGAGTCAGTATATGCTCCTTTAAGTAAGAATCAAGAAAGGCAGTATGTTACTTTTGTGAGGTTCAGCGCCGTGTAGTGGTTGACGTCCTAATATACGTTAGATACCCGCAATAGGTTTTTCACACAAAGAATAGACCATGTATACCGTGGTGTATTTGACGACGACGAGATCTACAAGACTCGAGTCAATAATGGATTCCAAGTATCATGAGATTAAAATTGAGAAAGCACATACCGAGCCTGTTTCAGTTAGTCAAGTCTTTCGTCACAAGTTCTTGGACAGATGAATGCTTACCAGCCGCAGCGCCGTGTCCGGCCAGTTGAGGTACCCTAGGACCAGTCAGCTGCGTCCTTGTCAATTAAACGAAGGAGGTTAAGCTTCACCCATTCTCGACCCCGTTCCTGGAGCTTCTTGCCGATCCTGTTGGAATGGTTAGCTCTCTTCGCGTGCTATAAATGAGAAATAACGTACTCTCCGAGATCCTCAGTCTTGAAGGCTCCAAAGCCCACACGAGTGGTGTAGGCCTTGACCACGCCAACAACCTCACCGATCTTCCTGATATCAAGGGCAAGTCCAGTGACCATGCCACCGATGCTACTCCAAGTAAGTACCAAATCCATTAACTGTTGAAATGTGTGAGGGATACGAACCCAGTAGAACTGCTGGTTACGTATGGGTACTAGACAAAGTCAACAAATACCCGCCCAAAGTTAAATGTCTTATCATAAAGAGCGGTAAGAGTTAGACCACCCCGATAAGCATTGACTTACTGAGCCCCAGTCAAGATCCAGCATGAGAGCTAAAAGGGTCAGCATATCTGAATTAGAGCAATGATATGAGGGGCTATCCGGCCTACCATTTGCTCCTTCGCAAAGGATCTTGGTGTTCTTTGCCTGTGCGTCCTTCATGAAAGCAATCGCGTCGACCGTGTATTTGCGAAGCTTGGGTCGATACTCGTTGAATCGGGCGATTTCTTCCTCAACATCGTACTTGAGCAGATCGCCGTATCGCTTCTGGTAGCCTGCTGCAAGTCGTCGGAGCTTCGAGTCGAAAAGTTCCGCATTGAAGACCTCTGCGAGTCTGATACCGCTTCGCTATATCCGGTTCAGTAAAGCTGAACCATCCAACAGTATAATTCGAACTAGGTCCTTACCGCCGCTTTCGTGCTGTAAGCAGGACCAATTCCGCGGCCTGTCGTTCCAACCTTGCGGTCTAAGTGATGGAAGTAAGCACATGTAACTGGCCCGCACTAATGACATAGCTAATCACCTCCAAGTTCAACTTCTTCCAAGCCGTCAACGGCAACGTGGAGGTCCAGGTCAATGTGGACTCGGTCGCTGATGAAGATTCGATCGTGGACGCTAGTATATGGTAAGCATGACTCTGGCAACTGAGAAAATAACTGGACCAGTAGTACTTTTCAAGCCCTTTGCGCTCTAGAGTTTCTAATTCCGAAAAGAAAGACGGCTTTTCGGTGCATTAGCGAAGTTCTTGACGGTGTGTCGAGTATCTTTAGAGTACGAACAATGTGAGCCACGACGGCAGAACCAATCAAGTTCCGACTTTAAATAGTAATTAGCGTATTGTATATTGTAGATCGCCCAATTACGAAAGCATACCAATTGGGGTTGACCAGGCCGGAAGGAAGCAGGTGGAAGCTAGAAGCCGTAATTAGTGTTTGCGCCGTGACGAAATGTCTCCTGTTTGCGCATACCTGTATGACACGCCATTGGCACTGTTGAAGCTGTGGTCAGCAATCAGGACCAACTAGAATGCAAAACTAGTTTCAGCTCACACAATGGAATCTTAATAAAAATTAGTTAATGTAGAAATGATATTGAACTTGGTAAAGGAAAACTTACGGCCAGCATTATGACCGCCCTAGATCTCGTCTCAGCTTGTATTCTTGTTATAGATGTCTTATAAGTCAGCTTAGGAGAGAGCTCACAGCAGCTCGCGCGCAAAGTTGCGCCTCGGGGGCAAGGATATCGGTCAATTTTCCTTTCTGCCAAGTCGCCATCGTTAATTGCCGCCGCATAAGAAAAGTAGGAATTTGTAGGTGGTCATACGCCTTCATCGCCTGCAGAGTCGCAATCATGTTAACAGACATTACGATGTCAGTTGCTCGGGGGCACAAAGGAAGAGGTACGAACCCCATTGGGCGCCCAGCTTTGGAATATCTAATGTCAATTCGTATTCCGCATAGTGTACCAAGTTTCAGCAGCTTACAATGATCGTGGCCATGGCTGGTTCGGGATCTGTTTGCAGATTTCGCTGGTTTGAAAGATGCAAGTAGATTTGACGCATGTGCTAAAGCGGCCATTTGAGTCACTGCAGCTTTCTTCTGCGTAGTGGGGCTTATCTTATCGCACCGCAGCTGCAAAGCCCCGCCAACAAATTTCATCACCTCCGATCCGCAGAACCGGAGCCCCACGTGTCCGCCATTTCATTATTTTTCGCTATGCCGCCTATTCGAGCCATTGATCTTGAGACGGCGTTTTTGAATATACGGGTTCCCGTCAAGCTCTCTTCTTTGGTTACATGACTTCCACTTTTCACATTCTTACACGCTAGATTTGGAGCCCTGTGATTTCTTTTCAGTGGTGAACTAACCCCTCCGCAAAAAACCGGCTCGCAACGATAGTCCGACATCGGTAATACAATTCGGTCATAGGTGGTGGTGGTGTTGACTACATACCAGAAGCACCTACGTCAAAGCATCGCAACTTCCTACAACCCAGGAGCACAAAAAGATGAAAAAAAAAAAAACATACAACAGCCGGTGTTCGCTGATGGTCACCCACTCAACTACTAATCTGCCGGTTAGTGGCTTATCTATGGGGGAGCAGACGGGACCCCGAGTTCTCCACTACCTATGGTCGTATGTACTTGTAATTCCGCTTCGATTCCTTATAACAGAGAGTAAGCACTAGAGCGAACTCGACTTCTGACCATTTTTCGCATTACCTCCCATGATGTAGATCGCCTAGTTCATATTCTAGCAAGATGAAAGTAGCATCTAGGTATTGTCTTTGCCTCTGTAATTTAAAATCCCTTGCAAAGCACAGCTGGTTTCCAGGAAGATATCGTGTTAAATCTTAGGATGGCGTCCAGAAGTGCACTAGCATCGAGAGCCTAGCGTACTATGGGGTGCTTCTTATCGATATCGGCGCTCTTCAGCAATCAGGCTATACGCAACAATTTCACCGCGATGCAATCAGCGAGCACATGCATTAACGCTTCTCATCATGCTGCTTTCTCGTGCGTTGAGGCCAATACAGCTCCCTTCGAGGCTTGCGGCACGGCCAATTGCCTTGTGTAGACGATGTATCTGGTCAGCAGCACCAGCGAGCTCTAGAGGCCATCCGCTGAGAAGAGACAAGTAAGGAATTCTAAGCAGAAGAACCATGTGTTTATGGCTTATACATTACCACCCCATTACTAGTTGCATTGGAATCCTAATTGACGTATCAACTCCTTCCTCATAGCTCGGCTGTACCGTACAATTCTCTTGTCATCAAACGCCTCAACCACCAAGCAGGCAGCAACACCGATAAAGAAGTGGCAGAGAAACAAAAGGCCACCCCGGCCGTCCACGAGGACATATACACGATACCAAATTTCCTTACCGTGACACGAATCGCTGCAAGTCCCGTCATCGGATACCTCATACTACAAGATGCGAATACCTGGGCTGTAGGCTTGCTGGCATACGCTGGCCTATCAGATTTGGTGGACGGGTGGATAGCGAGGAGATGGAACCGCAGAACAGTTGTAGGGACGATCATCGATCCAATGGCGGATAAAATTCTCATGACCATATTGACGGTGTGCCTGGCCGTCAAGGGAGCATTGCCAGGTACGTGGAAAGCGACTTCTAAGGCCATGAAAGTTTAAGTGACTGACATTTTTTTATCAGTGTGGGTTGCTAGTATTATCCTTGGCAGGGATGTTGGACTGGCTATTTCAGCCATTTACTGGCGCTGGGTTTCATTGCCGCCGCCCAAAACGTTTTCACGGTACTGGGATTTCTCACTGCCATCAGCCGAAGTTCGACCCACCACAATCAGCAAATACAACACTTTCCTTCAACTGGCCTTGGTTGGTCTAACAACCGCAGCGCCGATCTTGAGCGTTGACTTGGCGCAGACACTCACAATTTTGCAGTAAGTCTTGGGCAATCATCTTGTCATTCGAGTGTGTTTTGTTGCTGACAAGGAATCGTAGATATATCGTGGCTACTACTACCATTTGGAGTGGAGCGAGCTACATTTTCTCAAAGGATGCCATCAAGATCCTAAACAAGCCTTGAATTATGTAAATGCGCGCATCTATACATTTAGCAGGTAAACCGTACTATTGTAAAACAAACCAAAGCATAGATTTGTAAAAAGAAATGAAGAAAACTACAAATTAATACAAAGGAGGGAAATAACACAGGCCGTGTAAAAAAAGAATGACAAGACACCAATAGCTCCAATGAATGATGCAGTGTTAATATAGGTGGGTTTTAATTTGTTGGTCGTTTATCTGAAAGAGTTCCCTCAGCTGGGCTGTCTATCACGTGTCAGTACCTTCGCGGTTGGCGGGTCTATTTAATTCCACTTTTAACGTCTGCTAAGCTACTTCGTGCCTGCGCGCGCGTGCCTTTAACTCGCCAATCGACTCTCAACTCTGCAAGCTTTACTAATTGGGCACAAGGTAGCGTGAAAGCTGCCTTCAATCTTCCCCTGCATTTCCTCACTCGACTGCTGCAAGGCTTCACGCAGAGCGCTGGTGCAAAATGAGATTTAAAATAGAGTACGCTTTTCCAATGCACGATGCGTGTATCGAAGCTCATGTGTGACTAGTGATTTGCCTGTGTTATTTCCTTACCCAAGGATCTATCCAGGTATGTTCCCGTCGCTCCCATGCACGCCGTTTGCTGTGTAGCTAACATCCCCAATGAACAATATGCGTGAGTCGATTTGTATAGATTCTTGTTTCTTATACCGGCTGATCAATGGGAAACTCCATCAGCTACATGTGTGATCTGAAAAGTATGGCCCGGATTCTTGCGTGCGTGACCAGCCACTTACAAAGTCATAGAAACCCTCGATGCGGGTGGCCATTGTGTCTTGGAGATGCCGTCAGGAACCGGCAAGACGGTATCTTTGCTGTCTCTTATTGTTGCGTACCAGCAGCATATGCCGGAGAAGCGAAAACTCATCTACTGCTCTCGTGAGTAGCCCCACGGCCTCTCACCGATGGAGCAATGCTGACCTGGCCTGCAGGAACAATGTCGGAGATCGAAAAGGCTTTAGTCGAGCTGCAATCTTTAATGAAGTATCGCGCCGAGCAATTGGGCTACGAAGAAGAGTTTCGCGGCCTTGGTCTGACAAGTCGAAAGAACTTGTGTCTGCATCCCTCTGTCAAAAGGGAAAAGAGTGGCTCAGTTGTTGATGCCCGTTGCAGAAGTTTGACTGCAGGCTTTGTCAAAGAAAAGAAAGATCGAGGCGAAAACGTGGATGTTTGCGTCTATCACGATGTATGCCTATCGCTTTCGTTAGCATTCTGGGTCGATTCACCCAAACTAACATCACCTAGAACCTGGATCTCCTTGAACCCCATAACTTGATACCCAACGGCGTATGGTCATTTGATGCGCTCCTGAAGTATGGAGAAGAGCACAAGCAGTGTCCATATTTTACTGCACGGCGCATGGTATGCATTGCTTCTTTTGATTCTGAATGAATCGCTTCTGACATTGACAAATAGATGGAATATTGTAACGTAGTCATTTTCTCATATCACTACCTCCTCGATCCAAAGATTGCCGAGCGTGTCACGAAAGACTTTTCCAAAGACTGCATCGTAGTCTTTGATGAAGCTCACAATATCGACAACGTCTGCATCGAGTCGCTTAGCACCGACATCACCGAAGACTCAATACGCAAAGCTACCCGCAGCGCTCAACACCTGGAGCGAAGAATTGCAGAGATGCGAGAGACTGATCAGGAGCAACTTCAGAATGAATACGAGAAACTGGTTCAGGGGCTTCGCGAAGCGGATGAATCAAGGCAGGAGGATGCCTTCATGGCCAATCCAGGTAAAGTGGCGCCGTTTCCGAATGGATTATAGATTAAAACAAATAACTAACACAATATCATATCATAGCTCTGCCCGATGATCTTCTGAAAGAAGCCGTTCCTGGAAACATCAGGCGAGCCGAGCATTTTGTGGCCTTTTTGAAAAGATTTTTGGAATATCTCAAGGTCAGTTCGGCTCCTTATTTAACTCTGTCTGCTCTCCTCACTGACATGTTTCAACCTCAGACGAGAATGAAAGTCCGCCAAGTCATCTCGGAAACGCCACTATCATTTTTGGCTCACCTGAAAGAGCATACTTTTATCGAGAGAAAGCCGCTGCGCTTTTGCGCTGAGAGGCTAACATCGCTTGTCAGGACGCTTGAGCTCATGAACATCGAAGACTACCAAGCACTCCAAGAAGTAGCAACATTCGCCACTCTCGTTGCGACGTACGAGAAGGGCTTTTTGCTGATTTTAGAACCATACGAATCCGATACTGCCGAAGTTCCCAACCCAACTCTCCATTTTACCTGTCTTGACGCCGCCATCGCCATCCGACCCGTGTTTGAAAGGTTCTACTCGGTCATCATAACCTCTGGCACCATCTCTCCCCTCGAAATGTATCCTAAAATGCTGGATTTTGCCACGGTGATACAGGAGTCCTATAGTATGACTCTCGCGCGGAGATCTTTCCTTCCGATGATTGTCACTCGCGGAAGCGACCAAGCGTCGGTCTCATCTAGCTTTCAAGTTCGGAATGAGCCCAGCGTCGTTCGAAACTACGGAAGTCTCTTGACGGAGTTTGCCAAGATTACCCCCGACGGCTTGGTTGTCTTCTTCCCGTCGTATCTATACATGGAATCCATCATTAGCATGTGGCAAGGCATGGGCATCCTCGACGAAGTTTGGAAGTATAAATTGATATTGGTGGAAACCCCTGACGCTCAGGAAACCTCGCTGGCCCTGGAAACCTACCGAACCGCGTGCTGCAACGGACGAGGAGCAATCTTGCTTTGCGTCGCTCGAGGAAAGGTATCTGAAGGCATCGATTTCGATCACCAATACGGCCGAACTGTGCTGTGTATCGGCGTTCCGTTCCAATACACAGAATCAAGAATCCTAAAGGCAAGACTAGAGTTCTTGCGCGAAACATACCGCATCAAAGAAAACGACTTCTTGTCCTTTGACGCCATGCGCCACGCTGCCCAGTGTCTGGGTCGTGTCTTGCGAGGGAAAGACGACTATGGAGTCATGGTGCTGGCCGATCGACGTTTCCAGAAGAAGAGAAACCAGCTCCCGAAATGGATCAACCAGGGCTTGTCAGATGCCGATACGAATCTAAGTACTGACATGGCTGTCAGCAGTGCCCGGCGATTTTTAAAGACAATGGCACAGCCGTTCCGGAGCAAAGACCAAGAGGGCATCAGTACCTGGGGTTACGAAGACCTGATGCAGCACCAGAGAAAGATTGAAGAGGAGAGGGGAGATGAGCCTCCTCCTCCCTCGGCAAATGCTCGGGCAGCTAATGACAACAGGACTACTACGTATGAGTCTGATTACGAAGATATAGATCAGGATATGATGGAGTTGGAAGGCTTTTAGAAATTTTGGAACGTGCCGAGTGGTTAGAGGTAAACAACGTTATCTAAATTTCTGGCTACCCAATTGTCTCTTCTATATTTCTTTCTTTCTTCTTTGGAATCTAGGTCGACAAGTCTATACATTAATCATTCGCTAATCTTTCATTACGTCAATCCGATCTATATGCCATAGTATCGTACCTTTAATCAGATACATGGTTCTCATATTCCATAACGACCTTTTATTCTAATCGCTAAAACCTCACAAATAGTAAAAGGGAAGAAAAAAAAGAATACTTCGTAGTGGCACTTGCAATTTACCATACCCACGCACAATAATCAGAGAGCCAGAGTGGAGGAGGGGGTATCAAAATCACGTCTAGCGTGCTAACCTGGTCGAATCATCTCGTGGTAGGTATAATGCGCTTCGAAGCCTTGACAGCCCTCATAGCAGGCAGCGTATTTGCCCTGCCGGGTTTCCGGCCAATCTCAATGCACAGCATCCGGATGAAATCCGTATTGCTCCAGTAGCTGCTATGAGCGCTCAGCATGTTCAGATACTGAATCTCCAGCGGACCGCCACCAGATCGGATGAACCAGTCAATCTGGCCGTTGTCATTAAGAAGAAAGGCCTTCTTCTCGGCAATTTCCTCTCTGGTGAAGTCGTGCACTTCGAGTTCCAACTGAGAGGGCAAGCGAACTGTCGACGGGCGGCCATCGCCAGTCGTGGACGTGGTCGGATTGCCACTCCTGCCCATGACAGCGTTACGCATAGCATCGCCAACAGATTTGAAAAACGAAGCCGAAGAGGTAGGCACATATGCTGTTTTGAGACTGGCCGCATATCCCGGGTCTACCGTCCCGTTGAGCAAGTAGGCAATGGGATCCTCCTTGGCAAGGATATTGTAAATGTTATCGACGGCCAAGCATCCAAACACGCCAGTGTCGCCCCCTATATTTTCGGCCTTGACTTCGCTCTCATCCATGCCAGGTTTGACGCGTCCCCGTCGCGGTGTAAGAGCTCCTCGCTCGAGTAACAAGAAAAATCCAGTGGGGCTTCCCATCAGGAAGAGGTTTCGCGTATCAAACTCGAAATATTTGGTTTCTGGCTCCAGCCGTACTAGATCAAGCGGTGGCAGATCCGTTGGCTGCCGTGACAAGACTTCCACCGCCATGACGCTGCCGAGAGAGTGCGCAACAAGATGGACACGTCCATTCTCTGCAAAGCCGGGGTTGTTTCTGCACCAAAGGCGGTAAACCCGGTTCGCCTCCTTGACGAGAGCTGCAATCATCTTGCCCTTGTGGTGAGACATGTAGAAGGGGATATCGAACATGACATCCGATATCATGCTCCTTATGGCCGGAATGGTGTTGGGCTCAATGTCCTTGAGGCCAAAAGCTTGTGCTGCGGCCGAATCATTTGTCTCCATTCCCGTCTGGAGAGTGCCACCGTCTTCAAACGACAGGCCGATTCTCCAATTCAGAGGCAAAACCATGAGTCTGCTCTGGCTGTTGTCCAAAACTTCCTGCACCGCCGGATTCTGAAACTCGCTGTCAACCATTCGACGGAAGCTATTGACAGCGTGCGTAAAGTGATAGCTTTCAACTCTCTCAGCAATCTTTTGGCCAATCCCGTGAGCCACCAGCACCAAGTCTGTCACTTTACTGCGGTCTATATCTGCTTCACAAGCAGGGCAAACTTCCACTGCACTGCCATCAGAGGTACCATGAAATGCCGGTTTAGCATGCTGTACCTGCTTCCCACGGTGCATGCGTTCCCAGCTCAGTCTATCAAATCCTCGGACCACTGGAATGCCCACAGTCCCTCCTCTCATGATTTTCTGGAGAGGCCGCCTACCGTAATACGCAGATGGCTGTAAGCTCGGCTTCAATAAAAAGGCACTTGTTTGGTCTTTAAACAAGACGCTGTAGCTAGAATAAGGGCGTTGCGGTGCATTCTCGGAATCCTCGTCGTCTACTAGCTGCGGCCCGAGGGAGCCTTCTGTCGCAGCTTCGCCTTGATAGCAGTGTGCAGCACAAAATGGATGTGTGGAAATAGCAGGCTCTGTTGGTAAAGAGGATTTTCGATATTGTCCATCGCCTTCGACCGGCCATAGCCGATGAGATACCTTTTCCTCTCCCGAAGCCCCAACTTCAATAGCACAACGTACTTCGTCACGCCAAGTTTCTGCCCAGGGACGCAGTTCCTGGTATCCAGCTTCTAGCTGATTAGCAACTGCTGGTGGTACCGGTAGCATTGTATCTCTACGAAGCGGGTTAGCAGCTTATAAAGCCGAAGAAGAAAAAGGCCAGGGAACAAACTTGTAGAACCATGTACCTCTCGTTACAATGGCAATGTCGTTAACTGGCGACCAGTATATGGGCTCCATCTGTAACGTGTGCAATGACACCTTGTGCAATCTAGCCAGTCCAACTACGACATCCTTGTTTTCCTCGTCAAGATCCGGAGTGGTGTCCTCTATTCGAGTCAACGGCTCTGCTGCTACTTGATCGTTCTCCTTGGCAAGTTTGTCGCTGGTCTGGGGCGGTTCTAAAGTTGAAACATCACTACGTTGCTGTTTTGCTTCTGCAATCTGCTGTGGCTTCTCTTCAGGCTCCAATGCCCTCACAAACGGTCTCCCGGAAATGCCATCATCAGGTGCAGGAGGTGCAGGAACTAGTCCAGAAACTTTGAGCTCTCGAGACAGCCGATTCTGAGACGTTTGAGCCGCGCGAGACGCATCAGGCAAGATACGCTCCTGGGGGAAAGCCGATGCTTGTTTGTAAGAGTCACTACGAGGTTTCAAGTTCATGTGCTCTCCATAGGATGATGATATGGCACTGTCAGAAGGAGAGGCGCGTCCAGTGGAGATGCTGGCCTCTCTATCACGAGTCAACCGAGGGTGGCGTATGGGGATGTTCCGGTTGCTGCCAGCGACGGTTCTAAGCTCGTGGTGCTGGTTTATGACAGCAATAATATCCTTTACAATCTCATCGACAGTGAATAGTTGATTCGTCTTCCTCACCAACGTACAAAATTGTGTATCAAGCTTTTCTAGGATGTCGGCGGTGAGTCTGGGGCAGCAGGCTGTAAGCAGTGTTTCTGGGAGCGTCTCGGCGGCTTGCGTCGTGGAAGTTCGCGTCTGACGGTCGACCTGGTGGATGCGGATATGCTTCGAGGCCAGTTCTCGAATGATTTGATCGCGTCGTTCCATGTCAGACTTGACGACAGCCGGGCCAGGCTCTCGGCCGCTTCTAATGGCGTCATGCTGGAGACGGTGGCTCTCCGACATGAGGTCCAGCCAAGCCTGCTGGAGCACATCGTTGTCATCGTGGGAGAACGGGCGGAGCGGCGCCTTCGATTTCGAGTCTGCGCCGCCAGCAGGAGCGGTGCTGGACAGCGGATCGTCAATGGGGAACAGGGACGTGTAGAAGAACTGCGCATTGATGCAGGGGGCTCCATCGTCCTTGTCGGCGTCTGGCGTGGGACGGAGGCGACAGGCAGCGCCTAGAGTGTGCTCCATGGATGCGTGGATGCGACGATGAGCGTGCGCGGAAGCAGCAACAAGATTATCAAGAGAGAAGAGCGTGGAGGAGTGAAAGAGGCCACTCGCCTGCGATGCTCGGCCGCGATGCCATGGAGCTGAATCGATGCAAGGCTGCTGCTGCTGCTTGGTGCAGCCTCGAGGCACGTTGAAGGGGCATGACGATGGCTAGCGCGGAGAGCACATGGGCCAAAGGGCGCTGGCTGAGTGGCCGCTATGACGTGGCTGATTATGCAGGCGGCAGCAGTGAGAGGAACGGCGGCTCCCTACTGCTATAGTGGGTGCTACAGGTGGCTAGGCTGCTGTACCCGCTAGATAGGCCGCGGCTCATTGCGGATAGGGCCGTACAGTAGGCAGCTTCGGTCATTCATTCAAGTAGGTATATGGATGGCTGAGGTACATCCAAGGCGTCATGGCCAGTATGTAACACAGTCATAATTTCATCCGCGCTTGTATCATAATTTTTAATTAGATCAAGTCTTTCTGAGACATTTGCTTGTTTGTTGCTACCTTGTCTTCCACATATATAAGGTAGGTATTGTCGAGGTACAGCTCAGCTCAATAGCTTATGTCATCCAAGTTGCAGCACTAACATCGGCACTAGCAGCCTTCCGGGATCTCACCGGCGGCCGGCGCTGCAGTCAAGTGACACCTGGTGCATGATAAGCAGGGGCGCCTTGTCGTGTGCCAATAATCCGGGGCACAGCACAGCACAGCTACCTCTGCGGCTCGCTCCCTTCTCGTCTCAGCATCCATTCTCCGTCTCCTACAACTCAAAGCCGCTCTTTTTCAACTCCAATCTATCCGAACGATCGCAGGCCCTTGCGCGACGAAATTTTCATCACTCGAGAAACCTCATCGGCCAAGATGGCGGTTTCCCGAGGCACCGTGCCATTTCTCGTGGCCATGATGCTCCTGACTGGCGTTTGCAATACGCTGGTCACCAAATACCAGGTGCGTGTTGGGAAGCCAGCATATGGGCGATCAAGAGATACAATCCAGTCCTCATCACTGTCCATCTGTCTTTGTTTGCTGCTGCCTTTGTTGTTGTCCATTTTAGTTTTCTTGCCTGACCTAACAGCCGTTACAGGACAAGCAATGCGTTCGCAACTGCGATGACGAGGATCCCGGCCACCGCATGTATTTCAACCAACCCGTTATCCAGACTGCACAGATGTTCGTCGGCGAGATGGGCTGCTGGCTGGTAGTTGCTCTCACGGCAGCGTATCGCCGCTTCGCATCCAAGCGATCTCCCGCCGCGAATGGCTACCAGGCCATCGGCTCCAGCCAGCCCAATGGCGCTGACGACGAGGCCCCTGAAGACGACCAGCCATCCGTGCTGCGCGGCTATCGAATCTTGCTGCTGGCCCTGCCTGCCATCTGCGACATCTGCGGCACTACCCTGATGAACATTGGTCTGCTTCTTGTTGCGGCGTCCATCTACCAGATGACCCGAGGCGCGCTAGTTCTCTTCGTGGGTCTGTTTAGCGTCGTATTCCTGCGGAGGACGCTGCATCTCTTCCAGTGGATCTCCTTAGTGGGTGTGGTCCTGGGCGTGGCCGTTGTTGGACTTGCAGGTGCTATCTGGCCGGACGTCAAGGCAAACATCATCTCTAGAGGCCTGTCTGTCATCACGGATTCTCCCGATGGACTATCCGATGTTTCCAAGGCCGTCATTGGCGTTACGCTGATTGCGGGAGCCCAAATCTTCACTGCCACCCAATTTGTCCTGGAGGAGTATTTACTCGAACGCTCTCCCATTGATCCCCTCAGGGTTGTTGGCTGGGAGGGCATCTTTGGCTTCGTCGTCACGGTCGTAGTTATGCTTGTACTGCACTTGGCCATTGGTCGGACTGAGGCTGGTCGCTATGGCTATTTTGATGCCGCTGAGGGACTCCGTCAAATGTACAATGACAGGGCATTGCTCATCTCCAGTGTCATTATCATGATTAGCATTGGGTAAGTCACTTCGTCGATTGAGAAAGCCTCCCGGTGTAATTAACCATCTTTTATCTTTTTAGTGGCTTCAACTTTTTCGGATTGTCCGTCACTCGCACTGTCAGCGCGACCTCCCGGTCTACCATTGACACTTGCAGGACACTCTTTATCTGGGTGGTGTCTCTTGGTCTGAGATGGGAATCATTCAAGTGGCTACAAATTGTTGGATTTGCGCTATTGGTATACTCGACATTTTTGTTCAACGGCATCGTCCAGCCACCTCTTGAGTTTTTGCGTGTTGATGGAGAGACCGAGGAACTTCTCCCCGAGGAGCCAATCGAACACCAGTAAACTATCAGGCGCGCTCCTAGCGACTTTTGCATATCCCACTCTAACCAAGATTGATCTTTGTTTGATTTCTGTTTAATCTTTTGTCTTTGGCCAAGTCTGATGGGATTCGGGCGTACTGGTGGGTGCCTGGCTAACTTGGGATCATTTTCATTCGAGACACAACACATTATGCATTACATGTAGGCAGTTTAAAGTGGTAGTGCAAGTAATTCTTAATGCTTTATCTACATTTGACCCGTTAAATCATCACTCCAGCCATTAAATAGAAAGAAAAGAAAGGCTTCTCTCTAGAACTAGCTCCTACTCAACGCCTCAAAAACAAATTGCCAAGTCCCAAAAGCATTCACGTATGGTAGACAAAAGTGCAGGCCGGTTAAGCAACATTACATAGCAGTTCGGCCTCGAGGATGAATTTCCCTTCCTTGTACTTTTCAGACGTCTCAAAAGCCTTGTCATATTTCCAACCCACCGTTTCCTTGCACTGGTGGCAGGCGATATCACGGACAATGTGTCGACCAGTAGTCATGTTTCGCTCATTGGGATCGCCGGTGTCGATGTTGACGACTCGATGGAACAGGTACGCCTTGCCGTGCTGGCCGCGGAAGTTCTGATAACCCAGTTAGATCTGATAAAGGGAGAGTAGCATTTAGGGAAACAGATACGGTACGCACCCGAGAGATGATGTCCTCGTGGTTAGCTAAGTGAGCCTTGCATGTCTTGCAACCATAGATCTTGTTGCTGGTGAGATATGTATTATAAGCCAGGCCCATCGCTGCTGAGCTCCAGAGGAAATGGACAAGAAAAGCGAGTGATTCTCTCTCTACGAACTGCACCGATTCTTGCACAAATTGAGTGACGACGAGATTTGCTGGCAGCGCACGGTTCTGGCGAAGGGCCTTTGGAGGTTTTGTAGGAAGTTGGAATGTCACTCTCCCTCTCTCTTGTCTCTCAGCGCTCGGGCGGCGGGTTTAGCAGCGTGTGGGGTTAGTTCTGGAGGATCAAGGCAGCCGGCTGGTGCCTAGCAATGAGGTTTCTTTGGGAAAATGCGGTAGCGAGTGAGTGAAATCGCAGTATAAAGTGTAGCAGATTAGTAGTAGGCCTAGGACTTGGCCTATATGGAGCGCATCTGGAACGCTCCGTCATACGGGCGTTGGAAGTCACAGGATCAAGAGGCTGGACGAAGCCGGATGCGTGCGCCCCGCCGAGGATTTGCCTGGGTGGCTGGCTGGCTGCGCTGCGCTGACTGACATCTGTGTGTATGTCATCCATCACATGTCAGTAGAAGCGCTAGCAGCTGGAGCTCTGAGATAGCCCATATACTTGTATATGGGAATAATAAATCAAAAATGATATCAAGAGTCTACTAGTATCAATTTGTTGCCGATACCTTTTGAACAGAGTTAATATTAAATGCAACACTTATATAGGCAATAGAGCACATGGTCATTTTATAAGTGGGTGAGCGGCCTGTGTATGCAGCTTCAGGCCTTGATATATTATTTCTATACTTGATTTCGACGCACATAATATCCTCAACCGATCATGAGAATCCCTTGGCCAGAGACCAGAAACTGTCCATTTTGGCACGGGCCAAGACCTCTCTCGCCTCAGCATCCGTTTCGCAAATCTTGCTGCCCCATTTCTTGAAATTCCTCGCCTTTTGCTCTCCCTCAAATATCAGCTTGCACTCGTTCAGAGACATGTCCTTCAAATCTCCGTTAGAGTCTTCAGGCGATAACCACTCTTGTCCACTTTTACTATTCCTCTCGGGGTCTCTTGCTTGCACGTTTTCCGTCCACTTGATGCGGTTCAGCATGAGCTTCTTGTACTTGTTTATGCTATACGGTCCTCCTTCGACAATCACGAGGCTAAACTTTGGGTGCATAACGCATATCCCCGAGAGCGCCAGCTGTTCAGCGTTGCGCCATATCTTGTAGCGGTGCTGGCCATTCGCAAGACTTGTGACTTTGAATACAAGAACGTGGATGCCCTTGTTGGCATCCTTCTGTTGGTTTGCAGCAGTCTTCTCATGCTGTTGCTCCTTTGTTAACTTGCGGGACTCGTTCGATTCGATATGCTTCTCGTATCGATCGGCAATCTCTCGATTCACTCGTGCCTCGACGGCAGTGGGATCCTTGACAGCAGCTGTGATGGACATGGTCAGTATAATTGTACAATTTCAGAGAAGCAGGGATATCGTTAAACATACCATCACCCAGCACGCGCATGAGGTTTCCCTTCTTGACTTTGGGTGGCGGTGCCGGCACCAGTCCAAGTCGGATTTTCGCCTGCATCTCCTTGAGTTCTGCCATTCTCCTTTGTCGCCGTATTTTTGCTTGTTCTTTCGAGGTCAGATACATTGGCTTCGCCGGTGCGCCAAGTCGGTCCTGATAAGGCTCGAGTGCAACTGGATGTTGGATGTATTCCGTTACAATGCTATCGTCCGCATGAATCTTCAGTTTTGAAGGGTCGTCGACATCGTCGTAGGTTGATCCGTTCACCAAGCCTTCGTCCCACCACTCTAGATTCGGAGGAGCGTCCACGACAAAATTCTTCTCCACGTCAAGATCCTCATCAATGCCAGCTCTGCGAGTCTGCTCCGCGATACGCTTCTTCATGGCCTCCAAGGCCGCCTGTCGACGCAAGGCATTTCCCTGCTGGATGTATTTTCCCTTTTGATTAAACACCAGCTGACGAGGCACGCGCTGTCTCCCGCTCGGCTCCTGTGTAGCAGACTTGTCGTCGAAATATGGATTCGGCTGATTTCTCTGTCCAAACGTGTCCGGTGAGCCTCTCTTATCGTATGCGCCAGGCCGCGGACTGCCTCGTAATGACTGAGATTGGCCGTTTATCGTGTCTGCTTTGCCGGCCGGCTTCCAAGACCCCAAATCTTCCAACGCAGGATGCAGTCCGACATTCAGTCCTCCCTTCGCTTTGCTCGTGCCAATGGCGGCTGCGACGCGAGCCTTGAGCGCCGCCATTCTGTCTGCTGCAGACTCCGTCTTCTGTATCCTGGAAGCGCCATCGTGCTGAGGACCAAGGCCTCCTGGCTGTGAATGTTGACTCATCGAGTATGGGAGCTGCACCTGCGCGCAGCAGGACTATCTATGGTGGTGAACTCGAACAAGGACAGCGGCGTATTTCTTTTATCTAAATTCATTAATCGTACTCTGTAAGTGATGTCGACAGAAAATGGCAGGGCGAGGCTTTGCAGGCAAATGGAATTGACGTGAAACGCGACGCTGCGAAAGGCGGACAGAGATTTATTTGCTGGTGCCAGGCCCAGTATCTTGCCTGTAGCTCTCGCAGTAAGGCGCTGACGCTTGCATTAGTCCCGTAGCCTCGCTGTGGGGATTCCCTCCATCCAACTTCCTACCCACCACCCACACTAAAAATTTTGCCCGGTTCCACCGCCAAAAAATTCTAGTGGTACCGGCAACTCTCACCAATTGACTGCAAAAAGATTGGCATGGCTTCAGCAAGCTCGCCAGGATCAGCCCGTTGCTCAGCCAAGATCCTCAACTCGCCATGAATATTGCGCAGCCCGTCGCCTCGGAGGTGGAGAGCGTGGAGTTTACCTTCCTCTCCGCCAAAGAGATCCAGGCCATCTCGGTCAAGCGCATCGAGAATGAAAGCACTTTCGATAACCTCTTGAATCCAGTGCCCGGAGGTCTGTACGACCCGGCTTTGGGATCATGGGGCGATGCACCGTAAGTGACGAGTCTTCTTTGTGTCTTCTTTGGTTATCACCATAATCAAAGCTTCTAATTGCCTGCTAGATGTGCTACTTGCAACCTGAACCAGTCCAATTGTCCGGGACATCCAGGCCACATTCAACTCCCAGTCCCCGTCTACCACCCAGTCTTCATGGACCAGGCCTATCGATTGCTCCGTGCAACCTGCGTTTACTGCAAAGGCTTCCGTCTGCCTCCCAAGGATTTACACAAATACACCTGCCAATTGCGCCTGCTTCACCATGGCCTCATCCGCGAAGCACACATGGTTGCTACGATTGGAGAGAACGAGCTGGCAGTTGAAATCCAGGAAGCGATGGGAGAGGGGCCCAGCGAGGCTGAGGAGGAAGAATCCAGCATCGATGGCGTTACTCGACAAAGAGAAAAATTCGTTCGCAAATGTCTTCAGGGCATCAAGCTGAAGAGGGGCGAGGCCAAGCGAGGCAAGCATGAAGGCGCGTATGAAATGCGCCGCGAAGTCATCAAGGAATTCCTTACCGAGATCATCAAGAAGAGAGTGTGCTCTAGCTGTGGTGGAATTTCCCCGACGTACCGAAAGGACCGATTTGTCAAGGTTTTCGAAAAGGCCCTCTCCGCGAAAGAAAAGGCGAAGATGGCACAAAAGGCCCTCAAGTTCGGTGATGCCATGAGCAGAATCCACAATCGCCCAGCATCTAAGAAATCCAAGGGCGGTAAAAACGGCGTTGTTCATATCAATGGCTCAGAGGTTTCACCTCCTCCTGAAAGCCAAGATATCGAAATGGCAGACGCAGATGACGACGATGATGCCGGTGCTGGAGAGGATTCGCAGAGATACATCAGCTCAATGGAGGTAAAGGCACGGCTAGAAGAACTGTTCAACAAGGAGCAAGATTTGCTGTCACTCGTGTACAACGCCAAGCCTCCTACACAAAGCTCATCAAAAGTTACTCCTGATATGTTCTTTATCAAGGTGATCCTGGTGCCGCCGAACCGTTTCCGACCAGAGGCCCGAACGGGAGATTCACAGATTTCCGAAGCTCAGCAAAACGGACTTTACAAAAACATCCTCGCCTGCTGCTCAAGGATTGCTCATGTTTACAAGGCTCTTGAAGAGAAAAGGTCAGACATTGCAAACATGCACCAGGCTTGGACAGAGCTTCAAGATGCCGTCAACTCATTGATCGACAAAAACAAGAATCCTGTGCAGGGAGCAGCTGCGGCGCGGAACGAGGAGGGAATCAAGCAGCTGCTTGAGAAGAAGGAGGGTCTGTTCCGTAAGAACATGATGGGAAAGCGAGTCAACTACGCCGCCCGAAGTGTCATTTCACCCGATCCCAACATCGAAACCAACGAAATCGGTGTTCCTCCCGTATTTGCCAAGAAGCTGACTTATCCCGAGCCCGTGACGAGCCACAACTTCAAGGACATGCAGCAAGCTGTCATCAATGGTGTTGACAAGTGGCCGGGAGCTTTCGCTATCGAGAATGAAAACGGTCAGATTGTGAACCTTCGCAACAAGTCGGTGGACGATCGTATTTCTCTCGCCAACCAGCTCCTGGCGCCGACAAACAGCAGCGCTGCCCGCATGAAGAACAAGAAAGTCCACCGCCATCTTACCAATGGTGACGTTGTCCTGATGAACCGCCAGCCCACGCTACATAAGCCGTCCATCATGGGACACCGAGTCCGCGTGCTACCGGGCGAAAAGACTATTCGAATGCACTACGCCAACTGCAACACGTACAATGCCGATTTCGACGGAGACGAAATGAACATGCATTTCCCCCAAAACGAGGTGGCCCGTGTAGAAGCACTGCAAATCGCCGATACCGACCACCAGTACTTGTCAGGCACTGCGGGAAAGCCACTGAGAGGTCTGATTCAGGATCACATTTCAGTTTCTGTCTCACTTTGCAACCGAGACACCTTCTTCACCCGCAGCGACTACCAGCAGCTGGTGTACAGCGCCCTTCGTCCAGAAAGCGGCCATATCCTGGGAGAGCGACTCCAGCTTGTACCACCCGCCGTCATCAAGCCGGTGCCAAGATGGACAGGAAAGCAGGTCATCAGCACAATTCTGGCAAACATACGGCCACCCAACTGCGGCGGACTGACCATGAGTGAAAATACCCAACTCAAGGCGGAGCAATGGGGCAAAGACTCAGAGGAAGGAGTTGTGCTTATCCAGGACGGCGAATTCATAACGGGAATTCTCGACAAGTCTCAGATCGGACCCAGCTCGAGCGGTTTGATACACGCCGTGCATGAGATATACGGACCGTCCGTTGCCGGCAAACTGCTCAGCAGCTTGGGCCGTCTGCTCACAAGATACCTCGGCATGAGAGCCTTTTCATGCGGAATGGACGACTTGAGGCTAACGGCAGAGGGAGAGGCGGCACGACGACGGGAGCTTGTTGCGGCCGACCATCTAGGACTGGGCATTGCCGCCAAATACGTCTCTCTAGAGAACCAGCAAGACCCGCTGAATCCGCTCCTGTTAGAGCGTCTGGAGGAGGTTACGCGCGACGACAGCAAACAGGAGGGTCTCGATCTCTTGATGAACCAGGGAACAAAGGACATTACAGACGCCGTGCAAAAGGCGCTGATTCCCAACGGTCTCGAGAAGAGCTTCCCGAAGAACCAGATGCAGGCCATGACTACTTCCGGTGCTAAGGGATCTCGTGTCAACGCTTCCCTCATTTCCTGCAACCTGGGACAGCAGGTCTTGGAAGGTAGACGTGTACCGCTGATGGTGAGCGGAAAGTCGCTGCCTTGCTTCCGGCCCTTTGAGACAAATATTAGAGCGGGTGGTTACATTGTGAATCGATTCTTGACTGGAATCCGGCCGCAGGAGTACTATTTCCACCACATGGCGGGACGTGAGGGTTTGATTGACACAGCCGTCAAGACATCTCGCTCAGGTTATCTGCAGCGCTGTATCATCAAGGGAATGGAGGGCCTTACAGTCTCTTACGACACATCAGTGAGAGATGCGGATGGCTCGCTGATCCAGTTCCTGTACGGTGAAGATGGACTGGACATTACCAAACAAAACTACCTAAAGGACTTTAAGTTTATCCTGCAAAATGTGACTTCAGAGGCGGCCCAACTCAAGTACGACCCCAAGGTGGGCGAGCGGCTTGGTGCCAACCGCCAGGCGTTCCAGAAATACATGAAGAACGCCGTGAAGCACGCCAAGGCCAAGGATCCGAACGGAAAGGACCCTCTGACAGCCAGCTTCGATCCGGCCACCAACGCATTTGCCACTTCAGAAACATTCTACGAGGCCATGACAGAATATCTAAAGGAAAACCCCGATGGGCTGGTGCGAGAAAAGAAGGGCCAAGACAAGGCCGTCTCCAATCCCAACCAGGTGACGCTGAACAAGAAGAATGCAGAGATGCTTTTCGCCATGAAGTATCTGCGGTCGTTGGTCGAGCCGGGAGAGGCCGTCGGCATTGTTGCCGGCCAGTCTATTGGTGAGCCGTCTACACAGATGACGCTGAACACTTTCCATTTGGCCGGTCACTCAGCCAAGAACGTGACGCTGGGTATCCCTCGTCTGAGAGAAATCCTGATGACTGCCAGTAAGACGATTTCGACACCGGCAATGACACTATACCCCATTGCCGAGCTGTCAGAGCAGGATATCGAAGTCTTTTCCAAGTCCATCAGTGTGCTACGCCTGAGCCAAGTGCTGGACGGTATCGTAGTTGAGGAAGAGGTCGGCAAGGGCAAGCTCCGCGGCCTTGCCAAAATTTACAAGATCAATCTCAAGTTCTTCCCGTCATCAGAGTATGAAGCAACCTACGCAGTCAGCGTCTCGGACATAATGACCACGGTGGAGAAGAAGCTTCTGCGCAACATCCTGGCAATCATGAAGAGGGAAGTCAAGAAACGCCAGACGCAGACAACAACGGGAACTCCCGAAATTGGCGTCAAGGTGGGAACTGTCGAGACAGCCCGAGCTGAAGGAGCGCCGGACCGCGTTTTGGGCGAGGACGACGACGACGATGATGATGATGACGACAACGACGCTGCCGGGGCGAAGCGACGAGCCAACCGAGGCCAGGCCGTCTCCTATGGACCCAATGACGACGACGATGACGCTATCCAGAAGGACATGTCAAGAGGGGCGGAGGACGTCTCAGACGACGAAGGTGCCGACAACGTCGCTGGCTCAAACGGCGTGGATAAGGAGCTCGGCGATGAGGACAGCGACGAGGACGGCACCATGTGGTCGTCGAGGGCGCGAAAGGAGCGTGTGCTCAAGAACTACGTGGAGGCGACGGATTTCCAGTGCGACGACAAGCGCGGCGAGTGGTGTAATGTGACGCTCGAATTCGACGTCAACATCCCCAAGGTGCTCATGCTCAACATTGTCGAGGACGCGGTGCGCCAGACGGTGGTGCAGCAGGTGGCGGGCATCGAGTCGTGCCTGGTGGCCCAGGAGAAGGGCACGACGGCCATCAACACCACGGGCGTCAACCTGCGCGCCATGCACCGCTACAGCGACTTTATCGACCCGCACCGGATCCAGACCAACGACATCGCCGCCGTGCTGGAAGTCTACGGCGTGGAGGCGTGCCGCAGCAACATTGTGCAGGAGCTCTCCGGCGTCTTTGGCGGCCACGGCATCAAGGTGGACAACCGCCACCTCAACCTGATTGCCGACCACATGACGCGCAACGGCGACTTCACGGCCTTTAGCCGCATGGGCCTGCGCGGCAACGTGAGCCCCTTTACCAAGATGAGCTTCGAGACGACTTTGGGCTTCCTCAAGGACGCGCTGATGGACGGCGACTGGGACGACCTGACGACGCCGAGCAGCCGGCTGGTGATGGGCAAGCTGGGACGAGTAGGCACGGGCGGCTTCGACGTGCTGACGCAGCTGCCGACGTACTATGTCAACTCGCTAGCATAGATGTAAGAGAATACAAATGGATTGGGCGACGCGTGCGAATATTTGAGGGATGCACTTAATGTATTGCTATTTAGTTAGACTAGGCTATCAAAAATAAAAGGGCTACGAGAGAGGTTGACGATATATGAGATTTACTGCATGGTGATGTTGGAACGTATCTGCCTACACGCTGCTGTCGTACTGATATCTGTAGCATCCAGCAAGAGTCCTGTATTTACGCCAAATTGTACTGTTTCTGAGGTTTAAACCACGTTCATCGCCTCTCTTGCTATTCCAGTTGCTGCTGGTTTTACTGCTTCTCCTGCTTCTTCCTTGGCCCCGTGCAACCAACATTGCTTCATCAATGAAATGGCGCAAATGGGCGTCTGCCAGCGCAAGTACTGAGTCTTTCCGGTTGATGGGGATCCGTTGCTCGCTACGTGTATTCTCTATACTCATTTTTTGCTCATGTCTACTCCGTAGCGGCTACGCGTTATTTGTTGCTGGCCTCCCACCACGGCTGAGCTGACGCGTGCGCCACTAACCTAAATCACGACGCGCATCTTGAATATCACCACCGTGTCAGCACCGAATCGGCCACGGCCCATTGCTGCCTAATTTACTGGTGCGAACAGAAATCACGAGTTTGAATAGCGGATTACGATGGAACAGTCACAGTGTGGAAAGACAGATGAGGCTTGCAAAGTATTATGATTCGTAAACCGTGAAGCATTGAGCCCCGATTGCATTTGAGCAGTTCTTTTTTCCCAGACTGCGCATGTAATATACATCCCGAACCATAAAGTGGGAATAGTAAAAAACAAAGTCTCATTGTGTAACGCCTTGGATTATCCCTTGCCCCCAGAAAACACTCGTGTCAAAAGCAAAAGTCATGTCTGTCCACCAAATTGGTATCCATTTCTCAAATCACGCAAAAAGAAAAAGTCCTTCTATGAAAACTTTCTAGTTGCGCTCACCGCGGAGACGGCGGGCGAGCTGGATGTCCTTGCTCTGGATGGTGACACGCTTGGCGTGGATGGCGCAGAGGTTGGTGTCCTCGAAGAGGGAGACGAGGTAAGACTCGACGGACTCCTGGAGGGCGCCAATGGCAGAGGACTGGAAGCGGAGATCGCTCTTGAAGTCCTGAGCAATTTCACGGACCTGTGGGTGGATTGTTAGCGGTGATGCGATGATGGATAGAGATGAAGACATCGTCAACTTACCAGACGCTGGAAGGGCAGCTTGCGGATCAGCAGCTCAGTGCTCTTCTGGTAACGACGGATCTCACGAAGAGCGACGGTACCGGGCTTATAACGGTGAGGCTTCTTGACACCTCCGGTAGAGGGGGCGCTCTTGCGGGCGGCCTTGGAGGCGAGCTGCTTGCGGGGAGCCTTGCCACCGGTGGACTTGCGGGCAGTCTGCTTGGTACGAGCCATGATGACTGTTGTGTGGTGTTGACTTGATGAAATAACAGAAAACGATGATGCTTGGTGGGGCAGAAGAAGTGTAGTGCAGAAGGGAAAGATTCGGAGAAGCGGCAGGCGGGGGAGGTGCTTTAATAGTTGAGCCTAGCGGTGGCGGCTGATCTGGGCAGCGCAGCCTGTGCTTTGATATGGGGGGGGGCCTTTTAGTGGCGCGCGCAGTTATTTTTTTTTTTTTAACAAGGAAAGTGGGCCGTGCACCCGCGTCTTGGGAACCTTGGAACACACGAGAAAAAAGGGAGCGCAGCGCTTGGTTTGGCGCGGAAATGGTTTCATTTGCGTGGTGGGAGAAAAAGGTGGAAACACAGCCCCCCCACATGCGCTAGAGACAAATGTGGAAGCGTGTGCTGATGCGGAAAGGGAAAAAAGGGACGAGCGCGTCCTTTTTTCTGATTGGCTGATAGGGGTGGTTTGTTTTTTTTTTTTAATTCGCCCGCGTTGCTTTTTTCGATCGCAGGCAAGATTCGATTTACAGCTGCTAGCCTCAGGTACGTACCTGCACGTATCCATTTGCGGTGGCATCTCAGCTTACCCTACATGGGAGCGAGATCTGAGATTCAGACGAGATGCCGTGTGTATAGGGTAATTTTGTAGATTGTATGAATCATGTATACTGTGTCTTGATGTTGAATTGTATATTCCTATTTTCTGATTGGCTATTTGATGGGGTTGCGGCGTTTTAATCTACTCTGTTTGAAATGTTTGGTTATTGTTGCGTGCATCATTTCGAAGTGCCACTATTTTGACTGTAGAGTACTCATACACAACTGCTCTGAAACCCAACATGGACTCTCAGCTGAAAGTGTAATCTAACTGCAATATGGATACAATGGACACATAGCGACATGGGAGGATGGATAAAACAAAAAAATACTCCTAGCTGCTAAAAATAACTGGTTGAGTCTGGGTCGTGTACATGATGGCCATGGAGAGTAATTCATGTATGTTCAATACAGTAGATTGATTACTGGAGTTGACGATCATTATTACAATTACAATAACGCATCAATGCTCATTCACCAACGATGGTAACGTACTCCATACACAGTTACGATACAGCCTAGCTACAACAATCTACAACAACTACAGCATCCATCACCACTCCATTGTGGAATCTTCAGCCCCATATGCAACTGCCAGGAGCCACTCAGCCACTCCCATAGCATTGCCGGCAGTAGAGCAGAACCCCGTTCCCGCTACGCTGCCGTTGAGATCAGACAAGGGACGAGCAAACTCGGCTGCATCTCCCTCCATGGGGATAGCATCACAGCATCACTAGCCCAGCACGCAGACTTCTACAAGGTGGACAGCCGCAATAGCGTGTCTCGTGCCTCATGCCTCATTCTCCATACCGACATGGGTCCCGAGAAATAAACTCGTGCTGCACGTAAAAAAAGCCACAAAACAAAATGCTGCGCTTAGATTGGACGTGACTTGATCGTGTTTATCCAAGACAAAAGAGACGTGCCGCCCCCACTCTTCAGAAAAAAAGGAACGCCAACCAGAAAAAAAGAAAAAAAGGGAGCGGGTACGTACCTCTGCGTCGCATTTTTTTCTGCTGCCACGCCAGAAATCAGCGGTGATTCTTTCAGATCAGTAACGCGGAACCCACAGCAGCTGCGCGCGGCTCCACAGGCGCCTTTGAGGGGGGGGCTCCCCGTTTTTTTCTGGCGCTGCGGAAATCGATCAGTGATTTGGGACCGCTGCTACTTAAGCTGGCGTGTTGCCACAAGCTCAGCAGCCTTTCTTCCCTCCCCTCTTTTTCGATACGACCGTTTCTTCATCTCCATCTTGATTCCATTTCGCGTAACTTTTCGCGGAATTTTACATCCTCAACTTTAAACCAACCCACTTTCTATCATCATGACTGGACGTAAGTACCATCTGCGCCTACTTTCAACACCAATCATCATCTCCATCTGCATCGATCGTGGATCGAGACGTGTCTTTGGTCCCGGCTGCCCGGTAGTTGCTACCTAGGGCCTCAGCCTTGTCGCAGCCTCGGGCCTTGACGCGTCTCCAACCATCAACATCGCCACTCCATACTCTATCATAGTCAACCACAGTCACTAACATTCACACAGGCGGCAAGGGCGGCAAGGGCCTCGGCAAGGGCGGTGCCAAGCGTCACCGTAAGATTCTTCGTGACAACATCCAGGGTATTACCAAGCCCGCTATCCGACGTCTCGCTCGTCGTGGTGGTGTCAAGCGTATCTCTGCCAGTAAGTTTTGCTCTTGATTCCGTTCAAAGACGTTCAGCGTCTAACGTATTGCAGTGATCTACGAGGAGACCCGTGGTGTTCTCAAGTCCTTCCTCGAGGGTGTCATCCGTGATGCCGTCACATACACTGAGCACGCCAAGCGAAAGACCGTCACATCACTAGACGTTGTCTACGCCCTGAAACGACAGGGCCGCACCCTGTACGGTTTCGGTGGCTAAGCGCATTGCCGCTGAGTCGGGTCGACATAATGTGTTATTCGCGTTGTTTGTTACGATTTGGGCTTTTTCTTCACTATGGGCGCGGGTCATTGCTTTTTCTGAGTTTTTGTACTGTACAACCAAACGTACTGGGAATGGGTTGGCCTCTGAATGGGGGTAATTGAAACTACCAAAGTGGTGACCTTGAAATACAGCATCACGATTCACTCCAAGATGTCATGAATGTCCACCGTGAATATGTGCCTGCTCTATACTGCCGTGATTATCCGACAAAATCATACACCATAATAAACAGTGACTCACGAGCCCAGCGTATTGGGGCTGGCTGAGCAGAGAGCTAGATGGGAGAGCGGAGAGCTGTGTTGTTGGTCTCGTGACGCGTGACGCGTCAATGCTGTCTGGACATGGCATACGAACGAACATGGCTGATATGGAGCCTGAAGTCGATAGTACAAGTAGGATGGGAACGAGCGTGAGAGCCATGACTCAATTTACAACTTTAATGGTGCTGGTGTAGTTTTGGGTATGGCTGAGCACGCCCGAATGAAAGATGAGGGGAAGATTTCAGCCGTATGCGAGAATAGGGCCTATTGGCAATATATCGATTGGGCTGCAGTCATGCCTACTGTACTTGGGTGCCAATAAACGTACAATAGTAATATGGTATTTTGTGACTCATTAGCACCTAGAGCATAAAAAAAGAAAGGAAATATTGGGGATTTTTGTAACCAGCAGGGTTATCCAAAGCAAGAGGCCGACAGACGTGCATCTCGTGGCTGAAGGGCGCTGAGTGGTTCGAAGAGTCAGGTGGTTGGACACTTATGCGCTATGCAGGGTCCTTTGGGCTCTCCGGCGCTACGACTGACTATTTGCCAAGCAAGTGGTTGCCTATCGGAAAAAGAAAAGACACCTATACTTGGTGCCTGAGAAATAAGACGAAGGAAAAAAAGAAATAGAAAGGAGAGGAGCAGAGAAAAGAAGCAAATACAGTTCAAAAATTAACCCGATGCTAGGCGATTGGGTGGTGATGCTTCTGTTTACTTGTAGCACATGCTTGGCAAAATCAGCAAGGCTGGCTGGCGTCTTTCCGTCCAATCGTT